TCCTTTTAAGCCTGGAAATTATACATCACCATCATAGCTTGTAACATGTGATGGACTTTTCCTCCAGGAATCTGTCCAATCCCCTTTTAAGTTATCTAGGCCAGATGCCATCACTACATCCTGTGGCAAGAAGTTCCACAGACTAACAGCACACTGGGTAAAGAAATATTTTCTTTTGTCAGTTTTCAGTCTCCCAACACTCAATTTGAGTGGGTGTCTCCTGGTTCTAGTATTGCATGAGAGGAAAAGAGCCCTACCTCTTGTAGAAGATTTATGAGCCTCCCTTGAGGTGGCCATCCAGAGGATTCTGAACAGGAATGATCTTGTGGGTCGGGCGTGTGACATTAAGGAAAGATGCTCCAACATGGGCCCAAACTATGGAGGGCTTTATATGGAAGTGCAAAACCTTGAACCTGATCCGGGACGCAATGGGCAACCAGTGAAGGTGAACCATAACTGGAGCGATATAGTCAAATTTACTCGCACCCACCACTAGTCTGGCCACTGCATTCTGGACCCACTGAAGTCTACAGATCAGGCTCAGGGAAAGCATTGAATCCAGACCAGAATGGATCAAGGCAGTCCTGTTCCTCTAGGCATGTCTGCTGCCTTCACCCTCTCAATCACCTTGCCCAAGAATGATATATTAGCGATTGGACAGAAATTATTAAGGTGGTCTGATGCTAACTGAGGGCATTTTATGATGGGTCAGACAATGTTTTTTTTTTTTAATGGGAGGGAAGAATTCCCTCCCTCAGCAATAAATTAACAATGTTCATGACCCAATCTATCATAGCCCCCTTCATGGCTCTAATCAGCCATGCTGGGCAAGGAGGCAGCTAGCTATCGCCCTGTACAGATAAATTTACATGGATTGCTCCATTACTCCGTCCCACTGCCATCTATTCAACTGGAGCCAGCTTTTTGATTAGTACAGTGGTGCCTCACATTACGATGTTAATTCGTTCCAGCGAAATCGCTGTAGAATGAAAACATCGTAAAACGAAATTAAAAAGCCATCGAAACGCATTAAAACCTGTTTAATGCGTTCCAGTGGGCTTAAAGCTCAACGTCTAGTGAAGATCCTCCATAGGGTGGCCATTTTCGCTGCCTGTCTTGCGAGGAATCCATCCCTAAACACAGCGGGGAGCCATTTTATTTACCCGGTGGCCATTTTGAACCCGCCGATCAGCTGTTGGAAAATCATCGTTTTATGAAGAATCGGTTCCCGAAGCAGGGAACCGATCATTGCAAAGCGAAATTCCCCCATACGAAACCGCGTTTTGCGATCACAAAAGTGATTGCAAAAAGTTCATCGTAATACGATTTTGTCGTTAAACGAAGTGATCGTAATGTGAGGCACCACTGTATACTGTATTCAGATGCTTGTAGTGAGTTGGCTTGCCTTCTAATACTGACTAAAGGAAGGAATGCACCATGTCTATAATAGTGATGACATTTGTAAATAATTTCACAATTGGCAGGTACCATCAGTGTGCTGATAACATGACATTTTTCTTGTCCTGATAGAGCAGATATTAATATATCCTGAAAGAGACATTTCAGAAAGGGAAATTCCATCATTAGACAATAGGCTTTTCAAATGAATCATACTGCTACATTTATAGAAAACAGGCATTTGGAAGATGTCATAAAAGAGATCTGAGCTTTTTGTAGATCAGGTACACCTAAATTACAGAAGCAAGATAATTTGCTTCATTCTCATACCTATTCATTAATATTCTGTAGCATCTAGAAAATTAGATTATTTAGTAGGAACATGTGATCTGTGATGCTGAATTTAACAAAACAAAATGTGGTGATTTATCAAATTAGAAAGCCAATATGACATCAATATTACTTAAAGTAGCAGTTGAAAAAATTGACCTGTCTCTTTTGAAAACAGGCATAAGACACTGACATAGGAGGCACAATAGCTAGCAGCAAGAATCCTATTACATTCTGAAGCCATTTTATTCCAGTCACAATAATGCATATTATCTTTGCCGACTCAGGCCATGGTCACGCCAACAAAATGTTTTCCAGTCCTTCCCTTTTGATTTTGCAATTAAAATTTGTGGTCACATAATATATAGCGAATCATTTACCTGACAAGTGTGCTAACTGCGGATCCTTTTTTGTTGTGGATCTTTTTAAAGAAGTTGTATTGCTGCATGTGTGAATGAATCTTATTGCAACTTTTTTGAACTACTGTCACTATGTAAATCCTTTTAAAATGTATTTAGTTTTTTTAAAAATTTCTGTGGCATTTGTGTCAATGCCTTGGTTAACTTCTATCAAATGGTCTCAACAAGAAGCTCTAGGCGCTTATTTAATTGGAAGGAAATGACTCGGTAACCCAAAAACACATTGGGATGCACATCCTGGAATAAATGCCTCGTGACCTCAAAGAACGACTGGAATGCGATTAAAAATTGTGTAACCACAGGGGGACATTTTGCTGGTGTGACAATGGCTTCATACTGTGTTTAGGCTGCTGTTTCTTACAAGGAGGACATTCATACTTTAACTTTCTCATCTGAAAAACTGCTTGGACATATAAAAACTTATGAAACATTAAAATCAGTTAGTCTTGAAAGTGCTACAAGACTTCTGATTTTACATTACCACCTGATCTTAAGTACACAAGCAGTACTTAAATTTAAATGACAGCATGCATATTTTTTTCTGAGCTTCATTACTTAGGTGACTCTTGAAGGCTGGTGACCTAGGTTGATCCTTAACAGGTTGTGCTGGGATTTATTCCCCTTTCATTTTAATTTGCAAACATACGTACTTCTGACTTCATGCCTAGAGAGTCCTGCAGGTATATAAAAACCACAGGTTATTTGGATTCACACTTGGCATTTAGCAGCTAAGATCAAACTAGCCTAGCCCTTTTCTGTGTCCATCTGTAACTTTTTGGCTCAGCAGTGAGGCTACTGGGTTTTTTTTAGAGCTGAACTGGGTCAGTGGAGTCAGAAGGCAGGTGAGGGAATAGGGATACTACCTGTGCTGGATGGGGTTACACTCCCCCTGAAAACGAAGGTCCGCATCTTGGTTGTACTCCTGGATTCATCCCTAAGCTTAGATGCCCAGGTCTCGGTGGTGACCAGGAGTGCTTTTGCACAGCTAAAGCTGGTGCACCAGCTGTGCCGGTTCCTTTAGATGTTGGATTTAGCTACAGTGACACATGCCTTAGTTACATCCCATTTGGATTACTGTAACACACTCTATGTGGGGCTGCCTTTGAAGACGGTTTGGAAACTTCAGCTGGTGAAAAACTCTGGAGTCAGACTACTGACTGGGGCCAGCCATAGGGAGCATATAACACACCTGCTACAAGAGCTTCACTGGCTACCAGTCCGTTTCAGGGCCCAATTCAAAGTGCTGGTCATTACCTATAAAGCCCTATACAGCTTGGGTCCAGTCTACCTAAATGACTGTTTCTATACAGTGGTGCCCCGCATAGCAACGTTAATCCGTTCCGGATTAATCGTCGCTATCCGGAAACATCGCAATGCAGGGGGGGGGGACCCCATAGAAACGCATTAAACTTCGTTTAATGCGTTCCTTTGGGGCGAAAACTCACCGTTATGCGAACATCCTCCATAGCACCGCCATTTTCGCCGCCTTGGTAAGCGAGGAAATCACGCGAAAATGGTTGCGGCGGCCATTTTGGGCACCCGGTGGCCATTTTGGAACTGCCGATCAGCTGTTCCGCAAACATTGCAATGCGAAGATCGGTAAGTGAAACGCTTACCAATCATTCCAATGCGATGTTTAGGCTATTAAAACATCGCAATGCGATCGCATTAGTGATCCAAAAAAATAGATCGCTATGCGGATTCGTCGTTAAACAGTGCGCTCGTTATGTGAGGCACCACTATATGTGCCTTCTCGGTGATTAAGATCAGCAGAGGAGGCCGTCTTCTCCGTCCCACTGCCAGCTCAAGTGCAGCTGATGGGGACACGGGAGAGGGCCTTCTCTGTCACAGCTCCCATGCTGTGGAAAGCTCTCCCTCGGGAGATCAAGGTGGCCCCTTCCCTGTTATCCTTCTGAAAAAAGCTAAAGATCCATCTCTTCAGGCAGGCTTTTAACAACTACAACCGAATCCATGAACCCTATTTTAGCAGATAATTTTAATCTTTTCCATGTTTTTATGTTTTAATCTTTTAATTTCATTTAAAATCATATATTGTTTAATTTGCCTTTTAATATTTTACTTATTGTGTTTTTAATTGTGTGAATTTTAATATTGTGAGCCGCTTTGGGTCCCTGTTGCAAGAAATGCAGCAGCGTCGTCGTCCGGCGTCGTTGTCGTCGTCGTCGTCGTCGTAGTAACAACAACAACAACAACAACAACAACAACAACAACAACAACAACAACAACAACAACAACAACAACAACAACAACAATGTGCAGAGAAGAATCACTTTAATTGAGATCAGACCTGGTGAAGCAACCCTTTTCAACACAATCCTTCTTACCTGTCTAATTGCACCCTTAGTTTCAAAAATGTGGAGATAAATCCTTAGAAGCTCTGTTTACTTGTGGTTCTTTTCAGTGTATTCTTATTTTCTGAGTTTTAAAATAACACCTAAATTGGGATATAAGTAGGATAAAATTTTCTTAGAAGCATTGGTTGTTGTTTTTAAATGTGGATTATAAAACAACGTGAATCTCTGTGTGAAAAAGACTGAATAATGCTGTAACAGACTTTAGCAACCAATTTAACTTTTGATTGAACCGGAGCCAAAGGTGCTTTTAACTCATGTTCAGTTAAAGAATTGTAGAAGATCTGTAAAAGATTTAAAGCCAAAAACCCAATATTTGGGGCAATATATGCCTGGGACTGCAGTTTGGAGATGTTTTCTTATCTTCCTAATTTTGAAGAAATTCCAGGAAGAACACAATGTGCCTTTTTTTTCATAGTGAGTCAGGTATTGAAATAACTGACTAATGTGGTAACAGAGTGCTAAATATATTTCTTTGCAGAACAGAATGGCTGAGCTTGCCAAGAAGTCCCTTATTTAAGGGCAGCTGTGAAGACAACAAAATTGTTAACTATAATTCTTGTTCTAATGTGTGATAATCTCAAGGTATGTATTCCAGAATACTAAATGTCTCTGTCAGATCAAAGAAAGGTTGGTTGTATTAATGATATATGTGAATTTTTTGTATGCCAGTGGACTAAAAGCCCATTTGATTTCTCTACAGTATACGTTCCAAGATGGATTGAATATGTGCACTCTATACATTGTGTGTTTACTACTGTGTGAGGATGTTGCCTGGTTTTTCTTAGTTAGTGCTCATTCCTGAGTAGTAATATGGTATTTGTTTGTTTGTTTGTTTGTTTGTTTATTTATTTATTTATTTATTTATTTATTTGATTTATATCCCGCCCATCTGGTATATTTATACCACTCTGAGCGGCTAACAACAGGATATTCCCTGGTGTTATACTTATTGCTTGTGTGGTGGCAAACCTGTTCTTATTTGTGAATCAAATTTGCTGGAGTGCATCAAGAATGTTTACAAACATTTAACCAATTACCGGAAGCATTTCTATTAAATAAGCTCTATTTCTCCAGAGTTGAGATATTCAACAAGAATTGATTTGGGTGCTTTATGTAAACAATTCTAAACTGTTATGGAAGTAAAATGGATATCTCTAATTAGTTTAGCACTGGCTGTGTATTTGCATCTGAAGAACATATTCCAAGAGACATTTAACAGCACATTATGTACATTTTTGTATATGGTGATTGCCATGAAGGCAGGAATGTGTATATAATCTATACAGTCACTGTAAGTGGTTACAAATACAATGGCTTCCTGACTCATTTATTGATGGCTAAAACAAATGTAATAACCAGTCTCACACAATACTAGGGCCAGTATTCACTTTTTTCCACACAAAGATTAACTCCGTATGGGAAACATGCCAACAAGCAAAGCAACCCTGAGGCTTTAATGTGATCAACACTGTTCATGAATGTGCATGAATTCTTAATGGCTTAAGTAGCACAAGTGGCTTTGGTTTTGACCCCAGCTAGAAATCTGATTCAGTTTCTAAGAAGATTGTAAAGCTAACTTACTGGGGTTTTTTTCCATCTGTGTCTTTTTATGGGCCCGTAGATCTTCATTTTTCTAATCCTTTCCTATGTATATTGGAAAAAACCACACAACTATTTAGGTACACTCAGGATTTTGGTTTATATTTCTCAAAGAGCAGTTGATGATGCCATCTGCTGAAATACTTTGGGAACTGAGGAGCCTTCTCAAAGTAGACTGAGATGTAGCCTAGGAATTGCTGATTTTAAGGGGGGGGGTGTCACAGGTCATGCTGTTGTCTTTAGGTATATCCTAAATAGGTTTTTGGATCATGGGCCATTTCTACAATTAAATTGGTTGGTAGTTGTGACTTGTAAAGTAATAAAAATTATTGAAAGATTTCCAGGCAATGCCATGTTGTTCCGTTGCAGCAAAGCAAATAAAAAGTCATGGCAATCTTCAGATGAATCTGAAAAAGTGAGCAAAAATCTACAAAAAACCTATGCCAAATAACATTTGTTAGTACAGTGATTCCCAACCTAGGGTCCCCAGATGTTCTTGGACTGAAACTCCCAGAAGCCTTCACCACTAGCTGTGAAGGCCAGGATTCCTGGGAGTTGTAATCCAAAAACAATTGGGGACTCAAGGTTGGGAACTACAGTACTGGCTTATAAGGTACCAGAAGACCGTTTATAGTTTAAATTGAGAGGAGAGTGCACAATGCATTTTCAGAATACTATTCTAAACTACCTGTTTCAAATGTAATGTTCACATACATAAATTGAAATGTTTTGAATAATATAGCTCTGGCTTTCTTATATTGTATACTGTGCTTTGAATTAGAGGAGATAAATTCTTTAAAATAAATTTTAAATATATGTGTAATTTTACTTTCCGAAGTAGCTATTAATATCTAAGCCTTTTTTTTAAAAAAGCACATCCCATCAGGGTTGGGAGGATATTTTTACTTCCATACTCAAATTCATTGATGAATGCTTATAATGAAGATATTTCTCTGAAACATCAAAAATATCCTAAATTAGAGCAGATTTCATTTGTAATGTCTGTTAGATTACTTCAATTTAAGATTTTGTCACCTTGGTGATTCTTAATGATTTTTCATTTTAAAAAAAGAATAGCATGATTCTCAATTTTATTTTGCCTTTCATTTTCATATTACAAATACTTCAGAGCATAATTTTTCTGTGAAATTGCTAGCCCGTCTTTTGACAGTTTTCTTGCCATGGAAAAATGCAATTGTCACCCAAGATAGATATTAAATTTCATCAGAATTATATCTAACAATTTTCTTTTACTTGACAACCTTAGTTTTGGTGACAAGAGGAAAATAATTTTACTTATGAAACAATTCCTAGCAGAAATTTATTCTGACAGATATTCTGATAGTGTTTAGGAACTGCAGGTGGCAATCCTTATAGTTCCTGTTTTGTTATGGTATTGTTGGGTGGATAGTGCTGTGTTCTGATCTGTTTTTATCTGCAGGGGACAATTGGATAATTTACTGGCTTGTAATAATTACTAGTACAGTATAGTTAGTTTGTTGCTGCTGCCGCCACCGCTGCCACTCTTATGTGCAGTTGTCTTTGCCAATTCATGCTAACCCTATGAATGAGTGATCTCCAAAAGGTCCTGTCTTCAACTGCCCTACTATTTCTTGTAAACTCAAGCATGTGGCTTCTTTTAGACAGTGAGTCCATCTCATACCGGGTCTTCCTCATTTCCTGCTCCCTTCCACCTTTCCCTTATGTCTTTTCCAGAGAATCCTGCCTTCTCATGATGTACCCAAAGTAGGACAGGCTCAGCTTCAACATTTTTGCTACCGGAGATAGTTCAGGCTTCATTTGATCTTTGTTGTTGTCCGACTCTTCATGACCCTTTTGGACCAGAGCATGCCAGGCCGTCCTGTCTTCCACTGCCTCCCAGAGTTGGGTCAAATTCATGCTGGTAGCTTCAATGACACTATCCAGCCATCTCGTCCTCTGATGTCCCCTTATCCTCCTGCCTTCCTCTGTGTATTCTTGCCACCTCTTCTTGATGTCTTCTGCTTCTGTTATTTCCCTACCATTTTTGTCCTTTATCATGTCCATCTTTGCACAAAATGTTCCTTTAATATTTCCTGTGTGTGTGTATAAAAATCTTACTTTAATATTTCCTATATTTTTATATATACACATGCACACATACGTGTGTGTGTGTGTGTGTGTGTAGACACACACACACACACACAAAACTGGAGATTTTGTTTATTGGCAAAAAAAAGGGAACAATCAACTGAAGCCAAATTTAGAGCACTGCCTAGTGGGTAAAGGAAGATGGTGAACAGTCCTGCAGGACTTTAAAGCTCACCAGTTTGTGATATTTAATGGTCTACCCACCCCTGGTTTTCGACTTTGAGGTAATGTTTTTGTGATGATAAATGTTGTTGCTATTCCATTTGCCTGTTAGTTTGTGTAATATTCATTAGGGCAGAAGAATACTCTGAAGTCATAGTAGCATAGTGTAAAGTTACACCTGCAAAATTTCAATGGGAGTTACACCTAGGCAGTCTGCATCTCAGATTGTGCAACTTATTGCTCAACTGACTGCACAGTTGTACATCTGTAACTGTTTCCTTGGTGTGGTTTCCACTTTGGTGCAAATTTTGCAATGTCGTGTGCAAATTGAAGTTACACAGGTGTAGCAATTCAAAAGGTTTTGGCCAATGAATTTCTAAAATTGGGAAAAATCTAAGTGTGGAAATTGTCCATGTCTATGTTGCTGAACATTACATCCCTTCTTCCCCTTGACTTTGAGTTGTATGCATGCTTGTCCAAATGGCAAAGATGATAAACCAAGAACCAAAATTCATATGTGTTCCCTAATGGAGAAGTAAAACATACAAATGAGCTGTCTCCAGTGCTGTGTGAAAGGTTCTAAGGAATTTTTTCACATTGTTTGACAAAATAGACAAAAATGAATGACTTGGCTAAGAAGAAGAGAATGAGAGTATAAAATAGCTTTATGGAATAGGTTTATATGTCATCTATGAGACTGTCTAACCCAGAGATAATTTCCATGTAAGAAAAAAAATTGTACATGGCACTGCATGTGTTTGGATTTCATGGATATGTTTATTTTCTGCAAATACGCAGCTCAGAACATCACTGTGTCCAGATTAACTCAGAGGAAAGGAGCATGATTAAATTTTTATTGTGAATGATAGAAGGGAGTCAGTGAGCTAACCGAAAATGTAATATGAGACTTAAATACAGTATATTGTGGACAGAATACCATAATATTACTGCTGTTTGAATTGGGAGAAGGTGGCCTGGCTGCCTTTTTAACATGCATACTTTTAACATAACATGGATGTTAACATAGAAAACATCCAGTTTTCTATCATATTTTCTCCTTGATATATACTGTATGCTATATTCTAATTTTTCTACTACAATAGGCACTTAGGATTTATGCCCCTCTTCCTTGCAGCCCTCTCTGTCATTAAAAACTGATCCAGAGGTTTTCTATCCTGCCAGAGCAAGTTTTTAGGAAGTGAGGGGAGGGTGCTACAAGAGGAAGAGGGAATTATCTTCTCCTGCTTGTGCTTTGCAGAAACTGATCCTGAAGACACAGTGATGCAGTTAGATAGAGCCTATTGTTCTTTTTTTCTGTTCAAAGAGGAAGAACTGATCTGGTTTTCAAAATTCTTTTTAATTACATATTTGTGTACTGAACTCTGATCACAGTAATCCAGAAAATAATCAATGTAAAATGCACTGATTACCACCTATAGCAATCTGGAGAAATGAAAATGTTAAACAAGAGCCAGTATTTTCTATGAGTTATGCTAATCTGCTGTTGCATTTGTGAAACAAAACACATTCAAGAATTGAAATGGCTGAATACTTTGTATTCATAATCTGGGGTTAAGATAAAAATTGAAAATTTTACAAGATTTATTTTTACTTCAGTAAAACATTGTGAGAAGGTGTTCTGTATCTTTGGTTAATGACCAGAGTTGGTTCTTTGTTCAGTTGTTGTCAAATATTTTCTACAGTAGGATTGTCTGTTTTCACACTTCTTTTTTGTGCACCTTAGTTAAATTAAGTTTCTTATTTCTTTTCCAGTTAATGTTGTTTATCTATACTGTAGTTCACATACAGTGTGGAATAGCCTCCAGATGTTAGGCTGCGGACTTCAGAGAGGTTTTCAAAATGAGTATGTAACAGCACGCATGTTGCATTTTTAGTTCATCTATAGCAACAAGAGTAGCAAAGCAAAGGAGTAGCATATCTCATTTCTTATTCTATGTGCAATAGCTCTGTCAGTGTGTTTCTAGCTTCATGGAGCTAATTGTAACAATTTTGTTTATACAGTGGTGCCTCGCTTAGCGACATTAATCCGTTCCAGGAAAAACGTTGCTAAGTGATTTAATCGCTAAGCGATTTTAAAAAGCCCATAGAAACGCATTAAAATGTGTTTAATGTGTGTTCCTATGGGCTTAAAAACTGACCTTATGCGAAGATCCTCCATAGGGGCGGCCATTTTCGGTGCCTCTAAAGTGAGGCAAAACAGCGGGCAGCCATTTTGTTTTTCCGGTGGCTATTTTGGAACCACTGATCAGCTGTGCAAAAAGGGTCGCTTTGCCATGATCGCTTCCCCGCGATCATCGCAAAGCAATTTTTCCCCATAGGGGCCATCGCTAAGCGATCGCTCTAGCGATGGCCAAAACCCCATCGCTAAGTGATTTCATCGCTCAACGGAGCAATCGCTTAGCGAGGCACCACTGTACATAAGCAACAGGAAGTAATTTGTTAAACAAATTGATCAGAGTAGGGAGATTAACAGGCCAAAAACAATTAATAGAATCTGGACAGTAGGGCTATAAGAGATTGGCCTGAAATGGTCTAATTGGGTTGACTCACTGAGAAGGCCATAATCTCTGGTCAGTATACTGACTTGAAATTACAGCCTTCTCAGCAAGCCAGGGCTTGGGTACACAGCTCATTTGAAGCAGACTGGTATGGGCAAAATAGGGTCACAAAGTCGAGTAGAAATGTGATACGCCAGGTGGGACAATTTTGCATTAACATGACTTAAGCACCTCAGACAACCCTATTTAGCTTCCTTTAAGAGTGTGAGGGGGCAGGGGCGAAGTCCCCCCCCCCAACTCCCACCCTTGTGTGCATGGCATACTTTTCTCCTCCCTTTTTTATTTTAGTGGCTACTTGGTTTGGGATTGGGATGCAGGAGAAATGTTGAGGTATGAGAATTACTGAACACATAACCACATCTTAGCCATTAGCTTCAGTTGTGAGGATTACAGTATATTTTTACAATGCTTCTTTCTTTACATGTTATGAATAGAATGAAAGCTATATAAATGTGAAGTAATTTATAAGAAACCTCACTCCAGTTAAAGGGAAGATAACTAAAAATAAAAACTTTTCTTAGACTTTTTCAAGAAGTGTTATTAAGGAGAAAAATAAAGTAGCAGATCTAGGTATTCGCGAAGGCTTTCATGACTGGGATCTAATGGTTGTTGTGGGTTTTTCAGGCTCTTTGGCGATGTTGTGATGGTTGTTATTCCTAACGTTTCACCAGTCTCTGTGGCCGGCATCTTTAGAGGACAGCACTCTGTGCTCTGGTGTAGTTTGTTTTCCTAGCCATTTGTAATTAGGATAACAAACTACACCAGAGCACAGAGTGCTGTCCTCTAAAGATGCCGGCCACAGAGACTGGCGAAATGTTAGGAAGAACAACCTTCAGAACATGGCCAAAGAGCACGAAAAACCCACAACAACCATTAGCAGATCTAACTTTGCAAGATTTTCTCAATTGTCTGTAATGGTTTAAAGGGCTATCCTTTATTTTTAAAAAAAAAAAAAATTAAAATGCATTTTAAAAGGTTGTATACAATGCTTTTCCACTTAATTACATTTCCTGCTGGCTGTGTTATTTTCAAAAGCTGTGGGAGGTTTCACATATTACTTTCATATTTGCTCTCTGCAAAGTTCTGGTTTCATATTCTGTCATGCATATCATGATTACAAATGGCTAGGAAACTGTTTTTAAAAATTTAACAAAGTCTTCCACAAACTTTATGAAGTTGTTCTTCGCCCCCAAAAAACTTCTAGAGGTTCTCTCTCATCCCTTGAGACATCTATGTTGGCTCCTATCCTGTGAGCCTCTATGCCTTCTGCATCAGCCAACTCCTGTTTGCTGGTATGGAGCATTGGGTTTGAGAGAAAAACAGCACAAGACCATCCATGGCAGAGAATGTTGTGCACAATTTCACTACTTCTTGTTAAACTATTGAGAGTCAAATATTCTTGCTGATCATCACTTGCGCATCTATCAATACAGCACAATCCACCTTTTTTCTTTGTTGTTGTTTAGTCATTTAGTCGTGTCCGATTCTTCGTTACCCCATGGACCAGAGCACACCAGGCCCTCCTGTCTTCCACTGCCTGCTGGAGTTTGGTCAAATTCATGTCAGTAGCTTCAATGACACTGTCCAAGCATCTCATCCTCTGTCATCCCCTTCTCCTCTTGCCTTCTCATTTTCCCAACATCACGGTCTTTTCCAGGGAGTCTTCTCTTCTCATGAGATGGCCAACGTATTGGAGCCTCAGCTTCAGGATCTGTCCTTCCAGTGAGCACTCAGAGTTGATTTCCTTTAGTATGGATAGTTTTGTTCTCTTTGCAGTCCAGGGGACTCTCAAGAGTCTCCTCCAGCAGCACAATTAAAAAGCATCAATTCTTTGGTGGTCAGCTTTCTTTATGGTCCAGCTCTCACTTCTATACATGACTACAGGAAACACCATAGCTATGCAGACTTTTGTTGGCAAGGAGGTGTCTCTGCTTTTTAAGATGCTGTCTAGGTTTGTCATTGCTTTCCTCCCAAGAAGCAGGCGTCTTTTAATTTTGTGGCTGCTGTCACCATCTGCAGTGATCATGGAGCCCAAGAAAGTAAAAACTGCCACTGTCTCCATATCTTCCCCTTCTATTTCCCAGGAGGTGATGGGACCAGTGGCCATGATCTTAGTTTTTTTGATGTTGCGCTTCAGACCATTTTTTGTGCTTTCTTCCAGTCCAGCCTTTCGCATGATGTATTCTGCATATGTTAAATAAGCTGGGTGACAATATACAGCCTTGTTGTACTCCTTTCCCAATTTTGAACCAATCAGTTGTTCCATATCCAGTTCTAACTGTTGCTTCCTGTCCCACATATAGGTTTCACAGGAGATAGATAAGGTGGCCAGGCACTCCCATTTCTTTAAGGACTTGCCATAGTTTGCTGTGATCCACACAGTCAAAGGTTTATGCATAGTCAATGAAGCAGAAATAGATGTTTTTTTGGAACTCTCTGGCTTTCTCTGTAATCCAGCGCATGTTAGCAATTTGATCTCTAGTTCCTTTGCCCCTTCTAGTTGGAAATCCTGGTACCAAAGGTGTTGCTGCAGTAAAAATAGATTACAAATATACTTTGTGTGACAGTTTATGGTTGAGAGGTATTGATTTTGAAGTGTTAAGTGCTTTATTCAAAGATAATATTTTAAAAAATCATTTGATAATAAAAATACAGGTAGTTAACATTTTAAAAGGACTCTTTTTATTTGCTCTTTTGAAAAAGCTGAAGTAGTTTGAACCACTGTTCTGGCCTCCTGTGTACAGTGGAGAATTTTTATTAATAAACCAGAATTAAATTAATGAATTGATTGATACAGCATTATAATCTCATTTTGTTATATACTCATTTACATCTGAATGTTTGTTGGAATACCGGAGTATGCTAATAAGGCTGAGGAACCCATGGGGCATAGCTTTCAGGCAGCTGGTGCCTGAATCCAACAAGTTCCCATAGCATTCCATCCTTGTTTAGAAAAGAGAGCAGGAGAAAAAAGGGTGTGAGAGATGGGGGAAGAGGGAGAACGTAGCAAGGGAGAGAGATTGGAGGTGATGGCAGCCCAGTATGCCATCAATTTAGAACTCTCAGTGCAATCTTGGAGAATGGAACCCTTGGTAGCAAGAAAGGCTCTCCTGCTCCTCGATAAGGACCCAAATTTTATTAAGCTATTCATGCTGCCTCATTCATTAGAATGCTGAAATGTCATGCTGACATATAACAGCATTTTTATTGTTTGTTTTGAAGCCTGGTAGGATAGATTAATCAACCTTCATTCATAGTTTGGGTCTGTGTGTTCATTTGCAAAGGTTGTGCCTGTGAAATGAGACCATGACAACTGATGAGGCTGCAAAGAAAGAAGGAGAGGTCCAGGCAGCAACTCTCATTGAACAAGGCGAGGATATCACACCAAACAAAGACCGAGGAGTTCTGAAGGTAAGGCTGTGTGGAAACTAATCTACATGTACTTTCTCCAGCTGAACAAATACGTTAACATACCTGATGTAGCCCTCCAAAATGGCCCTTAAGACCACTCTCTCCATTCTGTGTGATACACAGTCATCAGTCTATTCAACTCACTGAAGGAGCAGAGTGAAAAGCTCAGTGCCTCCTTTCCAATCAATACATTCCCCTATGTGGATGAATTTTTAATTTCTCTGATTTAATAGTAACAATACTTACTCAAAAAACAGACAATACTTGCTTGCTAGTAAAATTGCACATGTAATATTGTACACATTCCCACCCCTGCCAAAAGTATAATGTTAATACAATTAATTCTACCACCTTCTACTACATCATATAGTCCTCTAGGACAGCTATTCTCAACAGGGACATATGGCACATGTGAAGAGTGCCACAAACTGGAAATAATTCTTTACACACCAGTTTATAAGGTTTATTATGCGATTTATCCCATCCTGATTTAGCCTCTGTTTATTTCATATTGTCTTTATGGCCATGGCAAAAAAAAAAAAAGGTTGAGAATGGCTGCTCTAGGGTGTAGTCTGCACACCTTTCCTGTCTTACATTCTAATCATTGTTTGGCCAATCCTTTATCAATAATATAAAAGTGATCTATTCCCATCAAAAAGCAAAAATAAGAATTAATGGAGAACTATAAGAAGAAATTGAAATACAAAAAGGTACGAGACAAGGTTGCCCATTATCGCCATTGCTGATTTTGATAGTAATCAAAATTTGATTGCATCAAATAAGAATTTCTGCTAAAATCAAAGGGCTCAGAATTAGACGACTTACCATATTTTTTTGTTTCTAAGATGACCCAATGTATAAGACGACCCCGCCCTTTTCTAACTCCAAATTAGAAAATTTGATCCCTGCTTTTCCCTTCCTTTTGCTAAGCTCAGCAAAAGGAAGGGAAAAGCAGGGATCTAAGAGTTCACTTTGACTGCCACTTTTCCCTTCCTTTTTCTGAGCTTAGCAAAAGGAAGGGAAAAGCAGGGATCTAAGGGTTCACTTTGACCGTCACTTTTCCCTTCCTTTTTGTGAAGCCCTGTGGCTTCACAAAAAGCAGGGAGAAGTGATTGTCAAAGTGAGCGCTGCTTTTTCCTGCCTTTTGTGAAGCCAGGGTCTTAGCAAAAAGGAAGGGAGAAGCGCCACTTTGCAAAAGGCAGGGAAAATCGGCTGTCAAAAATGACCGCCTTCTGCTGCTGTCTTCTGTGTATAAAACGACCCTCAATTTTTCTCTCTAATTATTTTAGGAAAAAGTGTGGTTTTATACACAGAAAAATACGGTACTTGTAGTGGTGCAAGATCCACAAGAATCAACTAAAGCATTTATGAAAGAATTAAAAGAGTTTCGAGAAATGGCGGGCCTGAAAATAAACCATAGAATGACAAAAATTATATATTGGGCACAATATAATTTTGGATCGGTGGGAACAAATATGGAAAAACAATATAAAACTTACCAAGTCAGTAGCATTTAAAGCAAAAATATATAAAATGGATTACAGATGGTATATAACTCACACAAAACTAGCCAAAAAAATTGAAATCTCCATTGGAGATGTAAACAAAAAGAAGGTTCTTTCTATCACATGTGGTGGTTATGTGGGAAAGCCCAAAAATATTGGAAAAGGGTTGGAATGCTTTTGCAAGAGGTTCTAGAGTGTCCGATAACTGTAACCCCTGAATTCTTTCTTTTAAACATAATTGGAGAATCAGTAGAACCAATGAAAACATACAGTATTTAGCCATCCATATCTTGACAGCTGCAAGAATTCTCTTTGCTAAACATTGGAAAGACCCAGATAAATCCATCAGAAGATGAGTTAATATTAAAAATTCTGTACATGGCAGAAATGGATAAATTATCAGAATGGTTAGATCTGATAAGAAAGACGAACCATGAGGATTGTTGGCGTAAATTTTATGACTGGCTCAGAAATAGAATGCAAATTAATATTTGATAATCAAAGCCTATGATCAATTTAGAAATAGAATGTATATTATAATTAAGTTATACCGGGAACTAATGTATCTATGAAATGTACCATATGAGAATGAGTATCTTAAAATGTTTATGTTGATTTGAACCCCCTGTTTATCCCATGCCCACTTTTCACCTATCCCTACCACTAACCCATAAAATAAATAAATAAATAATGTTTAAAAAATAATAATTGTTTGGCCAGTTTTCATTCTCGTTACCAGATGCAAAACATGGATTTTACAAGTCCATATATCTATTAGTATAGAAGTGGCTAGAGATACATATTAACTTCATTAACATAATTTTTCCTATTTTCAATCTAGATTGTGAAGAGGCCAGGGAATAAGGATGAATCTCCTATGATAGGAGACAAGGTTTATGTCCACTACAAAGGAAAACTGGCCAGTGGGAAAAAGTTTGATTCCAGCCGTGACAGGAATGAGCCATTTATCTTCAGCCTGGGCAAAGGTAAAGAGTGGAAAAGGTGCAGAAAGGTAAAGAGAGCTTTAGGGATAAAAAGTGGGTTCTTATCAATCAACTGACAGTTTATTTATATATAATCTTTTTTTTCATACAAGTTGTATGAGAATATGAGTAAGGATAACAAGAAGGGCTGGGAACTGGCAAATGTCTGACTTTGCCACTGCTGTGCAGGTCTGTTGTTTGTTTCCTTGCATATGGAGAAACAGTGATACAAATGTATTCTGGAAGAATGATACAAATGCTGAAATGTTATTTATAGCCATGTTGAAGACACTAATCCTGACACAGCAAACTGAAACTGTTTTAACTTTTCATCTTTCCCACCATGGGCTGGGAAACCTGGAAATCATCCTCCGATCTGGAGACTAGAAATCTTTAAAAGGAGAAATCTTTCATTCTCACAAGGTTACAAATAAATAAATAAATAAATAAGTCCCATATTTTCTTAAAGGGTAGCATAACAAAGTGTTTAATTACAATTTAGGTTTCTAAGGTAGACTGATAGATCAAAATATTTGTAACCAACCTTATGTTGACAGATCAGGACAGGGCATACCACTGTAATCAACTCAAAAGTATCTAATATAATATATTCATAGAAAGCATTTGGTAGCCAGAGAGATAAAATCTGTAGGCCTCCCATTTGCTAATTTTTGTCTTAACTGTTTTAGTTGTCAAGTTTTTTTAAAGTGTTTCCAATGTTTTTATCTGGCCAATATCCTCTTGGCAAGCTCTGCCAGTACAAAAGAAATGATGTCAGCTGATTGCTGCAGTTGAAAGAATTCTTTTTTTAAATTTTAGGATTTGCTTGCATTGCTTTATCTCATTGTGCACACACCCCAAAATCAAAAAGGAAACTCTCTTTTAATTGGCTGATGGCATTACTCCTGCTAACTCCAACAGAGCTCTTTAAAAGAGCTTAACAACTGAAACAGTTAAGACAGAAATGAGGAAACTGAAGATTTCTCCTGTTATCAAACAATCAGATAAACGTATTGGCCCTCAGTGTGTCCTGTTGAAATGGGAAGTACTGTATTGCTGCATCCCTTGTTCTGTAATCCAGAATGTAGGCATACAAAACTAAATATATTTCTGAAAAACCTTCTATTTAATATTGATATATAAGCATGGGTAATCTGAAAAGAAGCTGAATGCCTGTTCTTTCTTTGGAAATGTGCATATTCCCTACTCCCCTCAGAACGTAAATAGGCTTTTTGGTTGACATAACAAGCCAAGTATCTGCAGGAGCCCTACTATGGACCACCTATGTTGTTCCTACCTGCAGCAGGGTGGCTAAACAAGTGACAGAGCAAACCACAGATAGTTTGTTTATCATATTAACCAAACCCAGGTCATAGCAAATTGACTTCTTTCTTATTAGGTTGAAATATTTCGCTACTCATCCAAGTAGCTTTCTCAGTCTGAGGAGAATTGGTAGGAGACCCCTGATGTATCCTCCACATTGATATCACTCCCCCTTGTCTAAATAGGCTGGTTAGATGGATAAAGGATGGGTTGGGGGGGTGTGAGTGAAAATTCTACTTCTGCAGTCCTTCTCCAGTCATTGTGATGGGTCAGTCGTTAACAATGGTCTTTCTGGTGTGTACAGTCCTGATCTTTCTGGGAATGGATGAAAGGGCAGCATGATAAATAGGAGAGTGATGGTATTTAAGGCCTCCACTCCTGTTGAGTGAGGGATTTTTTATATGCATATGTATGGCTTCGCTAACCCCTGTCTCAAACCACTTATTTTCTCTGTCCAAAATGAGTACGTCTTGGTTATCAAATGAGTGTCCTTTGCCCTTCAAATGAAGGAACACTACTGATTGTGGTCCTGAGCTATTACCCCTCTTGTGCTGGGCCATTCTCCTTAGTGGCTGTTTGGTTTCTCCAGTGCAGAGCTCTGAATACTCCTCTTTGCATTGGACTGCACATCTTATATTGTTTCTGTTGTGTTTTGATCTTTTGGGTGGACGGGTCTCTGCCTTAGTGTGTTTGTGGGTTTGAAATGCACAGGTATGTGATGTTTACCAAAAATCCTTTTGAGCTTTTCAGATCTGCCATGTAAGAAATGACCAGGTTCTTCCATCGTCTCTAACTTAGACTGTTTCATTGTCCTGCTGAGTCAGGATGTTGCCTTGTTAAAGGCCCATTTTGGATATCCACAGGCCTTACAGGCTGTCATTAGATGTCCATCTTCCTTCTTCTTGGCTTCTGTGGAGGTGGGGATGTTTCTTGCTCTGTGGTTTAGCGCCATGATGACAGGGATGTTTCTTGCTCTGTGGTTTAGCGTCATGATGAGACCTAGTTTGTATTGCAATGGGTGATGAGAGTTGAAATGCAGGTATTGATCAGTGTGTGTCGGTTTTCTATTCCCAAGTTACCGTTGCATCCTATGATGACTGTACAGTCCAGGAAAGCCAGCTGGTTTTCTTTGGTGACTTCCCTAGTGAACTTGATATTTGGGTCCACTGTGTTTATGCAGTCTGTGAAGGCCTGTAACTTCCTGAATCTTGATGTCCACTAGGTATCATCCACATACCTGAACCAATATGTTGGAGTTGTCCCCTGGAAGGTGTTTAGTGCTGCCTTTTTCACTTCTTCCCTGTATGTTGGCAACAATGGGTGAAGATCAAGATTCAGGAAGTACAAGCCTTCACATCTCCTGGAAAGATGTTAACTCAGTTACCTTTTAATCTTCTCAGGCATTGGTGCAGTAAGATAGTTTGAATTCTTCCATTTCTCTCCTGGCTTATAAAATAAATACTAATAGGAACACTAGAGGTTTTTGTTCAGGAGTTCCTATTAAACTCCATCTGATGACAGGAGAACTTTAACCTTAGAAATGTACAACAGCAAAAGCCTTCTTGAATTTGTTTTCATTAACAATAACTTCAAAAATGGTGGTTATGTTAGGGCTGTTCCAGATAGGATCATTTGAACTGCCTTATTCTGTTCGCCTTTGTTCTGCTTTGTCCTCTGAAACAGTCAGGTGGATTACAGTGATTCATATCCACAAGGTGATTCCATAAAGTGTCAATGGAGGGGCAATGCAGTATGCACTTAGCTCCCACGCACAGTGCCAGGATTCAGGTGGTCTGAAAATAGTATTTCTACCTTATTGCAACATCTCCTTTGAACAGACCTCATTTTCAAGTGATCCTTGATAGCAAGGGGGAATGGCTGACTTGTTAGATCAGGATCCAGAGAAAGAAAGCAAAGGACAACCATGCCACCCATGCAGCAGCAAGACCCAGCAGCCCAATTAGAAGACACTCAAAATCCACCAGGACTCCAGAAGAGAGATAGATATCGTATTTTTTGCTCGATAAGACGCACCGGATATTAAGACGCACCTAATTTTTAAATACAGTACCAAAATTTAAAATAAAATAAAAATAAATAAACAGAGCAAGTCCCACACTGGGACTGCAAAAAAAAATTACCAAAAAACAAAGCAACATAGAAACATACCCCCCAGCCCATATCTACTCTCCAAAACCCACCCAGAACATTTTTTAAAAAGTAAAAAGAGCACCTAATTTTTAAATACCAAAAATAAAAATAAAAATAAAAATAAATGAACAGAGCAAGTCCCACGCTGGGACTGCAAAAAAAAAAATTGCCAAAAAAACAAAGCAACATAGAAACATACCCCCAGCCCAAATCTACCCTCCCAAACCCACCCAGAACATTTTTTTTAAAAAAGTAAAAAGCAGCACCTTACTGGTCCAAAGCCTCCTGGAGGTTCTCAGAAGCCGCCCAAATCTATCCTCCAAAACCCACCCAGAACATGTTTTTAAAAGTAAAAAGCAGCACCTTACCAGTCCAAATCCTCCCGGAGGTCCTCAGAAGCCAGTGATGGTGGCCTGGGGGATCCCCATGGGGCCTTCTGAGGCCTCCGGAGGCCCCAGAAGCCAGCGACGGTGGCCTGGAGGATCCCCATGGGGCCTTCTGAGGCCTCCGGAGGCCCCAGAAGCCAGCGACGGTGGCCTGGAGGATCCCCACGGGGCCTTCTGAGGCCTACAGAGGCCTCAGAAGCCAGCGATGGTGGTGGTGGGGACCCTTGCGGGGCCTACGGAGGCCTCAGAAGCCAGTGATGGTGGCATGGCCCCCCCGCTGGGCCTTTGGAGGCCTCTGAAGACAGTGATGGTGGCGGGGGGACCCCCGCGAGGCCTACAGAGGCCTCAGAAGCCAGCGATGGTGGTGGTGGGGACCCCTGCGGGGCCTACGGAGGCCTCACAAGCCAGTGATGGTGGCCTGGGGGGACCCCCACGGGGCCTTCGGAGGCCTCTGGAAGCCTCAGAAACCAGTGATGGTGGCGTGGAGGGGACAGTATTTGCTCCATAAGACGCATACACTTTTTCCTCCAATGTTTTTGGGTGGAAAAGTGTGTCTTATGGTGCAAAAAATATGGTACCTATTCTCCTTGTGTTAGAAGCAGGGGAAAAACCTCAGACAAAGGATTCTCAGGAGAAAAATGGAGAAAATGAACCCATGAATGTTGGCGGGAATGACTTCATCCAATCTTCACCTCTTTTTAGTGGTTGGAGAACCACTAAACTACTAGGCAAGTAGCATAGTCAAAAACGTTTAGGGAGGGGAAAGGAAAGAAAGAAAACTTTGAGAAGTGCTATATGAACCAAATGCTGTGCCTGGTATAAAGAGGTACAAAAATAATCCAGGGGTTTAAAGAGGAATGAAAAGATCTGCAAATGAAGATAAAGAAGTGTTACAAAGTGGAATAAGGATAGCTTAGTCTGAATGTCAAGAAAAAAATTGTTGTCGTCTGTCTCTGAAGGAGAGCTTAAATGCCCTCTGTCAGGGAAGAGCCTATAGCCTACAGAAACAAAAGCAACAAAGCTGGGTGAAGCTTTAAAAACTAGCAGGTTCTTTAAACCATTAGGTTTTGTTTTGCTTTGTGTTACTTAACACTGATTAATTGAAAAGTCCTTGGTAAGTAAAGGTAAAGGTTCCCCTTGACAAATGTCCAGTCGTGTCTGACTTTAGGGGGCGGTGCTCATCTCCATTTCCAAGCCATAGAGGCAGCATTTGTCTGTAGACAGTTTCCGTGGTTATGTGGCCATTGTGACTAGACATGGAACGCTGTTACCTTCCCACCGTGGTGGTACCTATTTGTCTACTTGCATTTTTACATGCTTTCGAACTGCTAGGTTGGCAGGAGCTGAGACAAGCGATGGGAGCTCATGCCGCTGGATTTGAGCTGCTGATCTTTTGATCTTGCAGCCGAGAATCTTTGCAGTTTAATCTGAAGCAACACAAGGTCCCTTATTTTGGCCTATAGAATCTGGAGATTTTATCTTTCCAAGCTTATCTTCTCTATTCAAGTGACAGTGAGAATATTGATTAGCATTTCCTGTGACCTAGAGGGGATTCAGACATCTGTCACTGATGATATTTGGCCAATTTGGTCACTGGTGTGGCCTCTTTAGAGTAGTCTCCTGATAGCAAGGTCTTCCTCTCTGTTTCAAAGGTTTCTTCAACAGGCATTTTCTGTCACTCTGTCTTAGCTATGAAGAAGCTCTCCTTGCAAGTGTGTGAAAATATTTGTCACTAATGATCAAATAATTTGGTTTTTTGGCAAGCATATAACAGCTTGGAGAAAGTATTGGTTTGCTTTACTTGTCACATTATTTTATACGTTTCATTATATACTGTATCACTATACTTATGAGTTCTTTAGGAACTGATAAATTATCATATTAAATGAGTAGCAGCAGCTTCATAGAGCCATCAAGTTGTTTTTGGAGTCCTTGTGCATATAACCATGTGTGGAATTAATATATGCTTTATTTATGCTGCTTTCATTTGGATACTTTCCATTTATCCTACTCATAACCTTGCAACAGTTCTTGAATGATACATATTTTGGCCATATTCAAATATAATATTAAGCTACCTTTCAGCATCCTCTGCTTTCCTTGGTTGTTTTTTTAACTGCTTGTATAAACCACAATTTTATGTATTTGGACAAAATAGAAAATGGTGGTTTGTTCTAAAATATTGTCGCAGCTCTAAATCTTCTTTCTTCATGTATAAAGATGGGAGGAAGGGGGAGCTTGAGAGATGTACAGTGGTGCCTCGTATAATGAGCGCACCGTATAACGACGAATCTGCATAGCGATCCCTTCTCCGGGATTGCTAATGCGGAGGCATAGCGTCCGTCCCTATGCAAAAAACTTGCTTACCGAAGACAGGCCGAAGACGGGTGCCAGGAAGGAGCTGCCGCCGCGAGAGTGATGCAGGGCCGCGCTGGCCGGGAAGAGGAAGGCAGGCTGCGAGGCAGGCAGGCAAAGGGAGGGAAGCTGCGCGCTCGCGCGTCCTCCCCCCCACTTTCCCTCTTCCTCCTCGTCCTTCTCCTGACGCCCCCAGGGACGAAGGCAGGCTGCGAGGCAGGCAGGCGAAGGGAGGGAAGCCGTGCGCTCGTGCGTCCTCCCCCCCACTTTCCCTCTTCTCCTCCTCTTGCTGCCGACCCCCCAAGCCTCCCACAGAGTCGGGCGATCAGCTGTTCGGCGGTTCTAAAATGGCCACGGGGCGCCCGAAATGGCCACACGCAGCGTTTTCGCGCCCTCCCCTCGCTTACCGAGGGCACGAAAATGGCTGCCGCTATGGAGGAAACTTCGCTGAACGGTAAGTTTAGGGCCAATTGGAACGCATTAAATGATGTTTAATGCGTTCCAATGGGCTTTTACGTTCCATTTAGCAACAATTTCACATAACGAGAGTTAATCCGGAACGGATTAACCTCGCTATGTGGGGCACCACTGTATTGTGGTTTAGTCACAGAATGCTAAACCATGGTTTCATGATATGTCTGAATCAGACCATTAGGTAGATCAGAAGTGCACAAACATTTCCGCCTCAAGGACTGCATGCAGTGTTGATTGGCGAGCCAGAGACTGCAGATATATGTGGCCACACATGCTTCACATAACGTTTCCAATCTCCATACATAGTTATGACGTGAATTTAATCATCCTGGATACTGACCTTAGTTCAGTCCTCAATCCCAATGGAGACTATAGCCAAAAGTTCAGAAGATCACTGAGACTTAGGAAAGCAGTAATGAAGGAGCTGGAAAAGATTCTCAAGAGTACAAATGTGTCAGTGGAGACCAAGGCAAGGATAATCTGTATGGAGGTATTCCAGTTTACTGTGTATGAATGTGAACACTGGATAGTGAAGAAAGCAACAGGGAAGAAATTGATTCATTTGGAAAATGTTGTTGGAGAAGAACTTTACATATACCATTGACTGCCAGAAAGTCAAATAAGTGGGTGAGATCAAAACCATGAACTCCTTCCAAAAGGCAAAGTGACAAAACTGAAGCTATCGTACTTTGGGCCGATCAAGAGAAGATAACACTCACTGGAAAAATGATAACATCAGGCAACAGTCCAAATTAGACCTATATTGACTCATTAAAAGCAGCCATGACCTTGAGTTTGCAAGAACTGTTAAAGACAAGCCCTTCTGGAGGTCACTAATCCGTAGGATCATCATAACTTGGAAGCAACTTGACAGCACGTAACAACAAAAGCCACACTGAGATCTAGGGATTATGGGGGTGATAGTAGAAGTAAAAATCTCTCCTGTAATTCAAAAATTGTCACTGAGATCACTGATCTGTACTAGCGCTAATACTGTGTATAAAGTGTTTATGTTTTTCTGTCTACAACCCAGGAAATCAAGTGGGTTATGTACAAAGAAATGGGTTGGGTTCTGCCAACAATGCATAGCACAAGGAGGCAGCCCATGATATAGACCTTCCTTGCTGAAATGAATGTTCTCTGTCCTCATGTAGTAGAACCAGCAAAAATAATCCACAGCTTACTTGCATAGTTATCTAATATAGAAGCGCTTGAAACATATAGGTTAGTATGATTAATTTTGCAAAACGGTCTTGATATATGACAATTGCAATGCACACTTCTAAATTACAAAGTATTACATTTATTGTTATAATAAAGAAAATAAAGCTATGTGTCTATTGTGATGGACTTACTGACCAAATCTGTTACTTCAAATTTCTTTTTACTAGGCCAGGTCATCAAGGCATGGGATATTGGCGTTGCCACCATGAAGAAAGGGGAGATCTGTCACTTGCTATGCAAACCAGAATATGCATATGGTTCTGCTGGCAGTGTCCCAAAGATCCCATCAAATGCAACACTCTTCTTTGAGGTAAGGCAATTTTCCCCCTTTATTTTGTCACATTTGTTTGTTTGTTTAATTTTTATACTGCCCATCTGGTTAAGGGCCACTCTGGGCAGTTTGCAACAAACACAAACAACATAATTAAAATACAATTTAACAGAACAGAAAATAAAAAATAATAAAATACAAATAAACAGTACAATCAAAAGTATTACAATATATTTGCATAAAAACATTTTAAATGGTGGACATGGTCAGTTAGGTTAACTAAGCTCAGCTGAATCCACAGGAATAACGTTTTAGAATTCCTGCCTAAATAACAAAGTTTTTAATGACTTTTTAAGTCACCAGGGAAAGGGCCAGATGAATTGCAGAAGGGAGTGCATTCCATAGCCATGGAGCAATCGCCGAAAAGGGACAGTCCTCTAATGATTCCAAAAGTGCAGAATAAAATACAAAACTCATAATAATGATACAAACAGTCTGATACGGTCAATAGAAATGAAGAAAAGAATGAGAACAATGGACAAATTAGAACATCAATGGCCATGACAACTCAGTTTATGAGGCCAAGGGCCTATCTTAATGAAAGCATATTTACTTGACACCAAGCACTTGTCAGAAAAGGTGCTACCTGGGCCTACTTTGGCAAAATGTTCCACAGGCTGACAAGCAGTGTAATCAACATTCCCCACCTCCTTCCCTGGAAAAGAATGTTCACTGTGGGAGAACCTATTCTCGTGTATATGTGGACATGCACACTACTGCTTCACCACAAATTGTCATGTTTAGCATGAACTGACAGCTGTAGCTTGAAGCTGACCTGAGAATTGACTTCTATATTACTATTTGCATTAGTTCATATAGATAGCCATTCATACTGGCAACCAGAACTTCAAGTACAGTGGTGCCTCCAATAGCGATGTTAATCCGTTCCGCAAAAAACATCACTATTGGATTTCTTCGCTACTCAAAACGCGGTTTCCCATTGAAATGCATTGAAAGCCGGCTAATCCATTGCAATTGGAACGAATTGCCGTCGTTAATAGAAAATCTCAATAGGAAACCTTGCTATTCAAAACGTGGTTCCCCCATTGAAATGCATTGAAACCTATTCAATGCATCTCAGTGGGGGAAAAAAATCAACAATAAAGCCAGCCAGCAAGGGATCGAGAAAGGAGGAGGAAGCCAGCCAGCCCAGAAGGAGCGTCGCGGCCGCCCGCCTGCCCGTCCCTGCTTGCCAGGGGGTGCCCGGCGGGTCCCTTTGTTCTCCTCCCTTGACCCCCAGCGCCGCCAGGAGGAGCCAGAGCCAGAGGAGGCCCCGCTGGGCCACCGGGAGGAGCGAGCAGGCCGAAGCACTGCTCGTCAGGGCCCTTCCCCTTCCCCCATCGCCGCCCCGGGAGGAGTGAGCAGGCCAAAGCGCTGCTCACCAGGGCCCTTTCCCTTCCCCCACCGCCGCCCCGGGAGGAGCGAGCAGGGCCGAAGCCCGCCGTCCTGGGAGGAGCAAGCAGGCTGAAGCGCCACTTGCCAGGGCCCTTCCCCTTCCCCCACCGCCGCCCCGGGAGGAGCGAGCAGGCCGAAGCGCCGCTCGCCAGGGCCCTTTCCCTTCCCCCGTCTCCGCCGCCGCCCCAACCATTGCTAATCGCAAATCGCCCATAGGAAAAATCGCTAATCAAAGCAAAAAAATTCCCCCCAAAACAAATCGCTATTCGATTTTTTCGTTAATAAAGGTGCTCGCTATTCGAGGCACTACTGTAATTGCTTCTTTTCTTTTCTTCTTTCTGTTTGGGGTGGGGTGGGTGGAGACTACGTCTTCCACAATTCCACAACTAGCATACTTCCTAACTCTAGAAAGGACACCGAAAGAAATTTTGGGGAACTCCCTTCCTATCAACACACACATCTATGTTAAGAATTTATTTATTTATTTATTTATTTATTTATTTATTTATTTATTTATTTATTTATTTATTTATTTATACCCCTCCTATCTGGTCAAAACGACCACTCTGGGCGGACACTGGATGGTTCTGACTGTGTTGCTTTTTGCTCTGTCTCTGTATCCTTTTTCTAGGAAAAGTGGGGGGGGGTCACTTAATTGGCTTTATAGAGCCTAGATTCATAGTGATCAAGGACTGTGCTGAAGCAAACAGTTGGAAAATTTCTTACAGTTTACAGAATGTTAACTTTATTACAATTGTTATTTTCTTTTATTATTGTGCTCCATGGGAAGTAAACAATTACATGTATCATGTATGTACCGTTTTTATATATCTAGTTTCTCATCCAGATAACTTAGATGAATCTGGTCTGAAGAATATGATAATCAGCTAGACAGTTCCTGAAATTGTACTCAATATTAAATTCTCCATTCTGTTAAAATAAGGAATGATTTAGATGAAAACTATTATAGGCACCCATATAAGAGTACTTGAAGATGAAACAATTTATTTTGTTTTTAGCTTAACTGGACAATATGAAGCTATTCTGACATTTGCAGGCCAAAGGACTTACTCATATTGTGCAATTTATTTATAAAATATTTCTATAAGTATATAACTTTAGGAGGGGATCTTGCAAATCCTGTTGCTTTCTTTGAAGTACAAGCATATCATATAACTGGAACCACAAGAACTACATCCAAAACTGATCCATCATACAGAACTTCAAGTACTATTAAAAATTAACAAGTTTATTCAATTTTAAGTTTTTCCTCTGTTGCTTACATGCAAAACAACTTATGTTTGAAGATTTTCCAGTGATTTAAAATACTGAGGAGAAGAAAAACAAGAACAAGAAGGGTGGAGTCTTCTTTTTATACTCCTCATGCTCCTGGACCCAAAGCCTACCTCCAACCCACCTACCATGTTACTGATAAGAAAGGGGAAGACACCAGAAGCAATGAAACTAATGAGTCTGTTAGCAACAGCCATGGTAGTGGGCTGATTCTCTTGGCTAAAGTGTGGGTCACTACACATTCATCACAAGAAGTAGCTGGCAGTCTCTATCTACTCTATGTAGACAGATGGCAGTTCCCAGAATCTGCCAGTCCCTAAAAATCTGCAGCATGAGTCTCAAGGTTTATGTTGCCTCTTTTCCTCATGACAGAGTATCCCTGAAGAGCACATGGACTTGCCCAAAATCTTGCTGTCTTTGTAAGCCTGTACGCACCACAAAATCATTAGCATGCATGCAAAACAAATGGCAGAACCCAATCATGGGTTTTAGTCATATATGGATTTAAAAAATAAACTATACCCTAAATCTGGAAATGTTAATTTTTAAATTAGACTTGGGTTACTGTACTTGTGTCTTCCTCTACTACAGATGCCAATAAGGAAGGGGAGTGAATGCTTTATATTGTGGGACTTCACAGAACCACTTCTTTCTCATTCAGCTTCAGCTAACACCTTTTCAATTGCTTTTGGTAAATCTGTTTAAATTATTCACTTTGAGGAGATGCCGCAGTTTGAGTGATTTATAATTTATATAGTCTTCTGTCATTAACAAGAGAGAAACAGCTGGCTAAAAAAGTGGTCATGGAAATCAGCCTTTGGATCTGAAGCTTGTGCTCGTACTCCTTTTGTTCAAAGTATGGCAATAAAATTGCTTTTGGCTCAGAAACTTATTGGTTGAGTTTTGGTGTGTTTTTTTTTACAGATTGAGCTGCTTGATTTCAAAGGGGAGGATTTATTTGAGAATGGAGGCATCATCCGCAGAATCAAACAGAAAGGTGAAGGATACTCTAATCCCAATGAAGGAGCAGCTGTGCAAAGTGAGTGTTGATATGGGTGCAAGGCTGTTACTAGACAGACTGCTGGTGGATGTGGTTTCAGCATTTTGTGAGATTTTTGTTATCTCTCTTCATCATCACCTCTTAGTAGATACTCGTGTCCTATTTTATTATGGATCTCTGTTATATATCATTAAAAGTAATGAAAAGTCAAAACTTAAGAAAGTTATTTTTTTAGTATAAAATCCCCAGTGGCCATGCTGGCTGGGAGATTCTGGGAATTGTAGGAAAAACAACATCTTTGACGACACAGTGTGGACTCATACAGACATAACTTTTTTTCTGTTTTGTTCCTATAGCTATGACTTCATAATGTCTGTATTTAGCTAGATCCTGGCTAATGGCCTTAACTTCTGAATGTTTTACATTTTCTCTAATGTATGGTGTTTTTCCTATGTTACAGTTTTAACTTTTTTAAAATCACAAAAGGAAATCATGCAAACCTAAAACATCTAATACCACATAACAAAAATACTACATAAAATATGGTAGTTTTAACGAACATCCGAGTTCATTATTTTCATTTGCCCAAATCTGTGATCTTATTAAAAACCTCCTAATAAATTCCTTCAACCTTTATTTTGACATGCTAATGTACACGTTTATATCTGCTATCAACTAGATATTCCACATAAAATTTGTAATTTCATGTTAATTGGGGGATTTGTTCAAGAAGTGCACTTTTTCAGTATCAACTCTTAGTGTGGTCTGAAAGACAACTGTGTGCTTGTTTGTTTTAATAATCTATAGCAAGTCATTTCCAACTGTTTTATCCTTGTTTGTAAAATAAAGCATACATTATTAATTTGAAATTATTGATTTATCTCAATAAATGGAACTGTGTAAGCACAAGGTTTATTGAGGCTTAATGGGAAATTTTATAAAGAGAAAAAAGTTTATTAAGTCAGAGAGTTGCTGTTGTGTTTTCTGAGATGAGTTACGACTGTCATAATAACCTTGCATTTTGTTGTAACATCTCCTGTGATTTGGGCTACAAAGTATTCTAGCTCTAAATTCAATAATGGCATATAGCATGCTGAGGAAGTGAGCATATAAGACCTGGCCATTTTTTTTCATAACAGCTGTAATCTCTCTTAGTGTTTGAAATGTATTACTGGGTTCTGTGGTTGTTCTTGGAAGCATAATTGCAGTACTGGTGCTGTGGGCAATACCATCCAGTGTGCTTTATAACCAGAATCCTTTTTGTGATTATAATTATAACTTGCAAGCATAACTTATTGAATAATTTTTCTTCCTGAACTGATTATACAAGGCAGGCAATGGCAGACAGGAACTCCATGTGCCTTAACTATGATCAGTTTTATAATCTCATCCTTTTCTGTCCTCTGAGAACAGAGCTAGCCATACACCCTCACCACCTCACTGTATCACCTCACTGATTATTTCCACTGCTTGCACAACAAAGGTTTATGTTGAGTTCTATGGGTTTATTTCTATTGTAATAATATGACTAGAAGAGGGAAACCAAGTCATATTAGAGTAATTTTGTGAAGTCTTCCGAAACATAATTTTTTCAAGCAAACTGAAAGTTTCCAGGAGTTTGGCTTCCCCTTGGTTTACACCTTTCAGATTGAAACCCCTGGATGAAAACAAAAAGCAAACAAAAAATCCTTTGTAAGTTTCAGACACATCCTAATAATTTATGCCAGTGAAGTATTATAGGTTATTATGGAGCGAAGTTCAGGTCCTGAACTTACTCCTGGATCTATCTTATAGTGCTAGCTGGTTTTGAGGGAATGGAGAGTAATATCATGGCCAGGTAGAATGGTAGGTTTTCCCAGAGGCCTATGGGGTGAGCATGGACCTCCTGTTATATATCATCCCACAAGCAATTAGGATCTAGTTTTGCTTGAGTGGGGGTGGGCTTGCTTCTCTGGTGAACCTGAAAAGAGAGTTTCCTCTCTGATCCATTGAGATAGCATAAAAGCATTCTTCTACCATACTGTTGCAATCATTTTTTGTACAATTTCCCCATAGTTGCTGTGGGTTTTTCGGGCTCTTTGGCCGTGTTCTGAGGGTTGTTCTTCCTAACGTTTCGCCACTCTCTTTGGCCGGCCTCTTCAGAGGACAGGAGTCAGAACGCTGTCTGTGCTCTGGCGCAGTTTGTTGGAATATCCATAACAACCTTGATTCAGTGTCTTAATTTCCTTCCATAAAGTAGCATTTTAAGTAAGAACTGCAGAAATAAAGCTCTTTGTAGCAGTCTGTAAAACACATAAGATACAACCCAGCAAAAGCTGGGCACTTTTAGTGGCACTCACTACCAGTGTCACTCAGAGTGCTCATCTTTCTGCCCCTCTCTAGTTTGTACAGTGGTGCCTCGCTTGACGGGGTTAATTCGTTCCAGCGAAGTCACTGTAGAGCGAAATTGTCATCAAACGAAATAAAAAAACCCATTGAAACACATTGAAAACCGTTCAATGTGTTCCAGTGGGCTAAGTACCTGCTCGTCCAGCGAAGATCCTCCATACAGTGGCCATTTTTGATGCCTGTCTAGTGAAAAAACAGTCCTTAAAACAGCGGGGGGGCATTTTCTACAGCCGGCAGCCATTTTGAAACCCGAAGATCAGCTGTTTGCTGATCATTGTAAAGCGAAAAACCGATCAACGTTAAGCGGAATTCCCCCATCTAAATATCGTTTTGCGATCACAAAAGTGATCGCAAAAACTTCAACGTTAAGCGGATTTGTCGTAGAGTGGGTTAATCGTCCAGCGGGGCACGGCTGTATCTGTTTTGTCTTTAAATTTAACAATATTCCTGAAATCAGGTGCCAAAGAGGTAAAATATGCTGTTAAGAAACTAAATATATGATGCAACTATTATCTCTTGTTCCAGGAGTTAAAACATTTCAACTGAGAGTCACATTTCAGATTCCTGTCAGATACTGTACAGTGAAGTGGTAACATATTGATGATTTAACATGAATAGAGCAAGTTGGCAGAAAACCAGAGAAGCAGTTATGACTATGTCAAAGACAGGCAGATGGTGAAACCCCAACAACAATGATTTTACTCACAGAGTTTCTGTCAAGTTCTAGTTCTGTACTAGAACTAGTTTCTAGGCAATATTTTAGACCAAGAGATAGTATTTGCAACCAAATATTTAGTTTCTCAGAGCACTGAGCTGAATTATAGAGAATAATTCACATCTCTATTTCCTAAAACATAGGCTGCATTTGAGTATTAGCATTCCAAGTTGCCTTACAGCCCCTCTGCTGTTTTAATCAGAGTACAAATGGCTGTCAGTGCACAGAGTTCATGTGCCAGCCACATTCAGAACACAGTGTTCTGTGCTCTTCAAAACAAAATCACTCTAGGCACTGGGAGAACAATAAGTCAGCTCAGCAGCTGAAGTGATGTACCCTAGTCTGGCTGTGGTTTCTTACTGTGTAATCCAAGTGTAATTCTATCCAAATGATCTCCTTTAGTTAGCACTTAAGCAAACTTTGATAATCTAGTTGTGGATCCCCCCCCCTCCTGTGTTTAAAACATTTACTGAATTCATATGGAATTGTTTCCATCAACAACAAATCCAGGTGATCAAGTACCTGTCAGCTTGAAAAAAGAGATTAGTCAATTAAAAATAAAAGAATGATCTCAACATAGGAAATATCTAGGTGCAAAAAGGATAGAACTATAGACATTTATAAAAGAAAAATGATTTTTTACCCCACCGTCACCACTATGTCCCAAAAAGTAAATTCCATTATTAGGATAATACAAGATTGAAGTAATTCACTCTATTGTCCAGAGAAGGAATTTCAGGGCTTATATTGATTTAAAAAAATAACTATCTTTTGCTAATATTTTTTGTGCTGAGGGAGGAAGATTGTCTTGCTAAATGACTACATAAATATTTGGATTTTGTTTGGGTGACTCTCACATCCATGCTGGAGGTCAAACTAGAGAGCCCCCAAACTAGATGAGTGATTTAGGTTATACCAAGAGACAGTACTCCCACAACTGATGAAAGGTGGCTGTTTGCCCTAGCAGGAGCTTTTCTCATCTCTGTAGTTTATGTATCAGCTTGCTTTGTTCTGTGACTGGGCATTGTTTAGGCATGCAGGTCTAAGGAAATCCTGTCTCTGGAGAACAAACCTGCTAATAGCAGGAATGGCAGTCTGCTTAGCTTAAGGAAGACAAAAATTGATCAAGGCAGTTCTATATTCAGAGATCACAAGAGGAATGGCTACCATAAAATCTGCTGTCACCATTGGTGATCTAATAAAACCAACACAGAGGGGACTGATGAACTCACATAGATAGGATCATGTCTCCAGTACACAGACAAGCGTCACAGCACTCAAAAGTAGAACACTTGCAGTCCATCAGCCCTTGCAGTCCAGCCCACAAAGAGCCTGGCAAAGTCCCAAATTGTCTCTGCACACAGGAGTACCTATCGCCTTTTGCTTCTCACAATTACTGTTTTGGAACACAATCCTCTACTAAGGAATTTAAGAGAACACATTCAGGAAAATAAGGTTTCACCCTACTGAATCACAACACAGTGGCCAAAATTCTGTTGCTTAGTGTAGTAAATTGCACTAGAGTATGTCCATTGAATCAATATGAATTTAGTGAGTCAACTCCTCTGTAATTTCCATTGATTCAATGGGACTACTCTAATGTGGTTTACTGTGCTGAGCAACATGACTTGGACCAGTATTCTCTTGATTTTTTTTAGGGTGGCTCCAGAAGACATTACCAATTTTACTTTAAGAAATCAGGTTAAAAGTCCAATAGCAACAGTTGGATAGCATTCTAGTGGTATCTTGCTCTGTATATGACATTAACTTTTAACAATTTACAGAGGAGTAGCTACATTAGGCTACCAGCATGAATTTGACTAAGCTCTGGGAGGCAGTGGAAGACAGGAGGGCCTGGCGTGCTCTGGTCCATGGGGTCATGAAGAGTCGGACATGACTTAAAGACTAAGCAACAACAGCTACATTCGTGCTCTATAATAATAATACATGTCTTGTGACACTTTAAAGATCTGCATTTTTTTGTGTAAGATTTTGTGGCCTAGACTTTAATACACCAGATGCATCAAGCATTGTACTAAGTTGGCAGAAATATTTACGCTTCACAGCCTGTTGTGTTATTTTGTTGTTATTATATTAATTTCATTCTGATCTCATTGTTTTCAGTTTTTTTCATGTATGTCTGAAACTGTATTTATAAGGGGTTGTACTTTAATGGTGTTGGAGCTCTATAAAGCATCATGTTAATTGCCTTTCTGAAAGCCTCTCGGATGTATTTTTTGGCTTCCAAACAAGGCACAGGATCTCTGTTTGCTTTATCTGAATGTAGAAGCGGCTATTCAAAAAAATATTGGCATCTTTTCTTCTGCTGCTGCTCACAGTGAGTGTGTACATGTGTGGCGTTTGAAAGGGTGACAGTAGATCTCCCCAATCCCAGCTGTTGCCTGCCCATTGTTTTTCTATGTGATTAGCAGATACAGTTGTACCACAGTGTGAGAACCTTGCCATAATCAATGCTAAATTTATAAGCCAGTTTCTCAAAACACAATGTCTAGATCTAGCAGAGCTTGCTTAAAAGAAGAGAAGGAAACTAACTGTTATGGATTGTCTTGCCCTTGCTTGAAACAGACATTGTCAGGTATTTTGACTTCAAATTCTACACACATTTTCTCTTTCATTCTTTTTATATGGCACTGGCATTGCAATTTCATTCAGAATCCCCACATAGTTTTGTTAATCCTAGAAGTATTTCTTTTGTTAAGGTATACTGCCATAACATTCTTTGTCTTCACACTATAAACTGTCTCAGCCACAAACAGGAACTATTCAGACTTACCCAGTTGATAGGTTTAATCTATAACAGTTACTGTATGATAGTATCTGGCAAGCAGTGGCTTGTTCCACATCAGTCATGATGGCATACTTTTCCTGACAAGGAAGGCAAAGCTGTCTGCCTTCTTCTCAAAGCTCTCCTGCAGCCCTTGTTCTTATATGCAGCCCCTATGACTCCACACAGAGGAACTGGAGAAATCTTTATCCTACGTGTACCATGCAGCTGACCTTGCATAGTATTTTATGTTAGGGAGGATGCCGGTAACTAGTATAATAAAGGGCCCAGTTTTTGTTCACCAGTTGTAGACTCATTCCTGTGTCAGGATTCTACTGCTCAATACTCCAACAACATAACAATTTCCTCAGCTTTGAAGAAAATGTTTAGGCTCTTATAACTTCCAAGTCCTACTGAAATCAAGCTAATCTTTAAGGCTGGTGGATGGTGGTGTCATTTCAGAAGATGTTCTTACACATGCTAGGTGTTAGAAGCAATGTGACTTTGGGATTTATTTGGGGATCAAGCCGTCACACCAGCTGTTGTGGCAAAAGAATGCTAGCAAAAATGCATCTTAGTCCTGTACATCTTTAATGCATATCAAAATGTTTTCAGCAGATAGTGCTTTTCAGTCTGTGTTTTTCTTCTTTCCCTTACAGTTCATCTTAAAGGATTCTGTGATGGCAGAATGTTTGATTGCAGAGATGTAGCTTTCACTGTAGGAGAAGGTGAAGACCATGACATTCCCATTGGAATTGACAAAGCCCTGGAGAAGATGCAGAGGGGAGAACAATGTATTCTGCATATTGGAGCACAGTAAGAAACTTGGGAATCTGACAGTCCTTCTTATTCTCTCTTACTCACTCACACACAACACACAGACAAAAGCAGTGATAGCTATGCTGTCCTCATGGCTTCCTTGGCTAATGGAAAACAAAGGGCCAATAGACAATCTTTATATTGTCCATGTTGAAGTCCAGTGAAGTTCAACCTCGAATTCTGACCAAGGAGTCTGTATGCCCAGAAAGGACAGATGGAGATTTTGGTTAAGTGGTGGCAACTTCTATTGCCTAATATGTGGGTGAGTCTATAGGCTTCCTCAGATGAAATCTAACAGCCCTACAGCACCCTGTGAGAGCTGTTTCTTTCTCTGCAGCATTCATCCTCCATTACATCCTAAAGGGACATACAGAAAAGGACTTAAGGTCATTCTGCTGTTTCCTTGCCTCTCTCCCTCTTAATTTTAATATCTTACCGATGAAGAGGTAGTATGGAAAACTTGCACATTTTTGTAAGTCAGTAAACATGTATATACACACCAACCCACCCATGCTGCACATCTTCTATTATATACCACTCCAGCCTAAGTAAAGATGTTTTTAATGCAACTTTTAAAAATCATAAATAGTTTGGAAACCTATAGTTAAATTGAGGTAATTAATATATGTCAAAGAAACTCAGTTCTGCATATGAACTGTGTTAAATTATTTTCTGCCTTAATAAGGTTCTAATAGTAAATTGTGTCAAAACTACATATTACGGTAATAAGGCAATAGAAATGTTATTTCGTTTGTAAACTGTTTTCCTTTTCTAAGCATTTTTAAAAATAAATGTTTAAGGACAGAAGGAGAACCATTTAAGGTTTTAGTGTGATCATAGGAGATTCCAAGAAACTTGGAAAATAATGCTGATGAAAAATAAAATGCATGATCCATTGAAAAGGTATTTAAATTAGAAAGAATGTGTAGTGTATAATCACATCCAGTCTGAATACAAATTATAATGATGAGCCCAGCAGAGTTTGTAAAATCTGTGTTTTGCTATAGATGAGTTACTTAGTCACTGGTTTCCAAGGCAACATCTGTTTTGTCTCAAGGGCCTGATGTGTAGCCACAGTTATCTCCACATGAGCATAAATATTCAGAATGATGAATAAAATGCTTCATCCTATGCCATTTCTGTTAGCCTTTTATTTTTGTGGTTTGTTTCAGATATGGGTTTGGTGAAGCAGGGAAGCGTAAATTTGGCATTGGGCCAAATGCTGACCTTGTGTATGAAGTTACACTGAAAAGCTTTGAAAAGGTGAGAATGGAATTTCTTTAAACGGTAAACAGATACATGTACTGCAACATTTTACCCATAGTGTCTTTCTGCAATGAAAACATTTAGAAAGTCCTGATTCTCTTTTCTCTCCATTGCCTGGTAAAACAGATACGTTGACTAAGATCACAGTGTTCTTATGCGTTAGTTTGCTTTATTGTTTTGGGCGGGGTCCAAGACTTGTTCTAGACTTGTTCCTTTTGTACCTTTTTTCCTGGTTGGACAGCAGACAAAAAATGTGTGTCCTGCCAAACTACTGAAAGGAGGGCAGGGCAGAATTTCTGAACAGGCTGTGCCCTCTTTGGGGTGCTGAAGAATGTGCCCATCTCTGTATGGTACAGTACAGTGAAAGAACAAGATGTACATAAGGTAGTAGCTTTGCAACTAGCTTACAATGGGAAAAGTTTTCAGGAAGAATGCTTTGGTAATTCATCTCAGCCCTTTCAGTTTTCAAAGAGACTATTAAAAGATCCCTTTCAGGACTCTCATTCTTTTTGAGATCTCTGTTTTCCTAGATGGTTTAAGCAGAACTGGAACCAGATTGTGATTCCGAAACCTAATTTCAGTGCCATTGATCTTTGTTTATTCTAAGTTTTATTCTGGCTTAATTTCAGCAGCAGTGCAGCTCCATAAAGTGTCTTTAATGTAAAATAATGATTAGAGATGGGGGTATTCTTATTTGTATACAATTATGAATATCCCCTTCACAGGTGTAGATAACAAGGGTCTGGGCCCCTGGGAGCAGACTGACGACTCATGGGTTCACCGCTGCTGTGAGCTCTACAGAGCCTTATCGCTTCGTTGCTCGCGATAGATTAGCCAGTCCTGGCAGAAGGCAAGATGACGAGCCTCTCTGCCAGGTCTCAGAGTGGCTAATCATTGTGACCAACGGAGAGATAGGAAGGCTCTGCAGAACTCACAGCAGCAACATAATTGTGAAAGGTTGGTCTGGCCCCAGGGGGCCAGACCCTTGTTATTTGTACCTGTGGGGAGATATTTATAAATGAATACAAATACCCCCTTCTCTAATAATGATCTCAATTGCTTGCTACTCACTCTGTCATTACAATGAGAAATGTCGCTGCCCATTGGTGCCAAACAGTGGTGACATCCAAAATAGGAGGGTACTGTACAAATGACTATACTTCAGGGTACAAATACAATTTCAAAAAAAAAAAGGTGCTCTGATTGTTTGCATTGTTCTTTTTATTAGTATCAGATTGTTGCTAAAATGTTTGCATATAGGCCAAAGAATCCTGGGAGATGGACACCAAAGAGAAACTTGAACAAGCTGCCATTGTCAAAGAGAAGGGGACTGTATATTTCAAGGTCTGTGTCAACCTGTTTACAGGTGTTAAACATCAACAAATGATTTTTTCCCCTGATAAGTATCTGCAGTTTAATTTGCTGAACATTTCAATGGTGCTACGCCACCCTAATGCTGCTTTTTCCTGCTTCAGCTTCCTGTTTAACCTGGCTTTCTAAACTTTGATTTGGCCATCAGCTGGAAATGAGATAGCAGGACAGGAATTTAGTGAGGGTTGGTTTGGAGGTATTCTGAATGGCTTTTTCTAGAAAAATAGCAAATGTGGCAACACCAAAGCCATTTGTCAATATTGCTTTCTAGTGATATTGTTACATTATGTCTTGAACTTCACACTTATTTTTTAGTTATTAATTCTGTTTCTATCCCATCTTTTCTTCTGTGAGGCCAAGATGCAATACATGACTCTTCTCCACTTTACCCTTACCACAGTCTTGTGAGCCTCGTGCCTAGTGATTGAATTGTAATATTAAGCCTCATGGTGCAGTGGTTAAACTGCAGTACTGCACTGAAGACTGTATCTGTGAAGATTCTCAGTCATCCAGTCTGAGGAGAATTGGTAGGAGACCCCTGATATATCCTCCACGTTGGTTTCACTTCCCCCTGGTCTGAATAGGCTTGTTAGAAGGACAAAGTTGTATTTCTGTTGTGTGTGGTCCTAATCTTTCTGGGGATGGATAAAAGGGCAGCATGATAAATAGCAGACCGATTGTATCTAAGGCCTCCACCCCTGTTGAGTGAGGGATTTTATATTTGCACATGTATGGCCTCCCTGACCCCTCTCTAAAACCACCTATCTTCTTGGTCAAAACGAGTACATCTGTCCCTAGAAAGATTAGGACCACAGACACCAGAAATACCATTGTTAACAACCCATGACAATGGGTGGAGAAGGACTGCAGCAGTGGGATTATTCGTCACCCACAGTCCTTTGTCCATCTAACAAGCCTACCCAGACCAAGAGGAAGTGAAACCAATGTGGAGGATATATAAGGGATCTCCTACGAACTCTTGTCAGACTGAAGAAGCTACTTGGATGAGTAGTGAAACATTTCAACCTAACAAGAAAGAAGCCCAGTTGCCATGACTCAACTTCCAGATGCAGTGAAGACTCTGCTCACGACCTGCAATCAATCCTGGGCTCAAGTACATATCACCAGGTTGATTCAGCCTTCCATCCTTCCAAGAGGAGTAAATTGAGCTCACAGGGGGAAGGGATTGGGCAATGTATAGCCTGGATAAGTAAATTATAAACTACCCCAAAACGGATTTAAGTGTTATGAGGTGGTACATAAGCAGCAAACTTTGCTTTTTGAGTCAGACTAAGAGGCTGTGACTGGTGATAGGTTACTCATTGAGTGTCATGGTCAAGTAGGGACATTAACCCATATTCCTCAGGTTCCAATCTGGCACTCAAAACAATACACTGGTTCTTCTGAGTCCCATTCATGCTCTAGGTTTGACTTCTAAAGCTCTTCTTCTTTATTATACTGTTGACTATTTAAAATGTAATAAACTTCAAAAACGTTGTCGTCATCGTTGTCATCTTCAAGCTTTGTAAAACATTATTCATAGCCTGATTTTCTCTATTTCATTTTTAGGAAAGCAAGTATCCACAGGCAGTGATTCAGTATGGGAAGATTGTATCCTGGTTGGAAATGGAATATGGCTTATCAGAAAAGGAATCCAAATCTTCAGAATCCTTGTTGCTTGCAGCCTTCCTCAATCTTGCCATGTGCTACCTGAAAATGAGAGAGTATGCTAAAGTTATTGAGTACTGCAACAAGGTAAACACAAATCTGACTGTGTGAAGTTTTGAAGGCCACTGATACTGGTTGGCAGAAAATTGAGATAAGAGTGCTAGAATATTGGTAGGGGATACTACTGCACATAGTCCTCCTGAAGGGCAAAGGGGAAATGTCACTGATTTCTTTCTTTAAAAAATTGCAAACAATATCCTGTCAGTTCAGACAAATTGGCCCAAATCATGTTGCATAACTTATATCTGCAAAATAGTAATGGCATCACAGACAGGGGATAATTTTCAGTAATTAGAAAGTTCCTCCTTCCATCCTGAAGCTCCCACCACTCGCACCAAATGAGACTGATTATACATGAATTGGAAGAACTGTGAGACTGAAGCAGAAACTCTTTAATTATTGAAAATTTCCCCCTCCTATTGACATCCTTAGTAGATAGTTTCCCAGTGAAACTTGTCTCATTTCTTTTGGTTTTGTTTTGTTGCAGGTTGGGGTAGGATGCCTTTTTATATTCATGCAGCACTCGATTCATTTACCATGAAAGGGACCGCCTCTCTCAGGTCTCTTCATTTCTTTTTTTCCCATTTGAATTTTCTGGTGCTACTCCAAGAAGGCCAAAAGAACCTGAAAGAACTACTCCCAAATAAATAAATAAATAAATCAGAGGAAAAGCAACAGAGAATTAGTCTCCTCAAAAAGCATGAAACACTACAACCAAGAATTACGACCAGCAATCAAAACAGTCCCCACCAAGGTCCCACAAAAATATACACCTTTAACAGAATACACGCACAATAAATTAACCAGATCATAATTTTTAAAAATTAATCAAACAAGGAAAGCACACACACACAAATAGGGGGAAATAGAATAGCAAAATAAATCAGAGAGAGAGAGCCCTCTGCAAAAAAATAAGGAAAGCGGGGGGGAGGCAAGCCCCCCAAAAAAACCTCAGGCCAAAATGCAAAAATATGAGATTCCTCTCCTCTCTCTGCCACTTGATACCTTCTCTTCTTCATTGTAGAAACAGGCAGGCAGAACTCCGACCAGGTTCCAACTAATCCAGGTCCTTTTACAAGCAATTTGCCAGCTTAGTCCTAGCCAGCATAGCTAATTGAAAGGTGATGGGAATTGTAATCTTATAACACCAGAAGGGCCACACATAGCCCACCTTTGACTTAATCCTGTGAATTCTAGTTTATTTGTCCCACTATGTGGCTTCATCCAAGTTGTGTTAAATGTAGGAATGTATGTTTGCAGGCACTAGCCTTGGACCAGACCAATGAAAAAGGTTTGTACAGAAGAGGGGAAGCACGACTGCTTATGAATGAATTTGAATTGGCAAAATGTGACTTTCAAAGAGTGCTGGAAGTGAATCCACAAAACAAGGCAGCCAAGTCACAAATCACCGTGTGCCAGAAGAAAACAAAGGAACACAATGAGCGTGACCGAAAGATATATGCCAACATGTTCAAGAAGTTTGCAGAAAGGGATGCAAAGGTTTGTACCTTGCCAATATGGCCACCTTCCAGCCATTGTCAAGCTTAGCTGTACCGAAACACTGGGAACTTTTATAGGAAATTGCACAGAAATATTAGCAAAGTGTTATGAAATCCTTACCTTGAGGTGGTAGATGGGAACTTCTCAAGCTTCTCCAGGGGATGAGGTTTGGCTTTCGTTTCGTTTAGTCATTTAGTCGTGTCCGACTCTTCGTGACCCCATGGACCAGAGCATGCCAGGCCCTCCTATCTTCCACTGCCTCCCGGAGTTGTGTCAAATTCATCTTGGTTGCTTTGATGACCCTGTCCAATCATCTCATCCTCTGTCGTCCCCTTCTCCTCTTGCCTTCACACTTTCCCAACCTTAAGGTCTTTTCCAGGGAGTCCTCTCTTCTCATGAGATGGCCAAAGTATTGGAGCCTCAGCTTCAGGATCTGTCCTTCCAGTGAGCACTCATGCTACTCAGAATCCTCTTAGTAGCATGTAAAAGAGGGTGGATCATGAGGACACAAGTTCTAGCATCCCATCCCACTACAGAGGGGGATGGAGGGGGAATTCAATCATGTAATAAACTCTCTCCTTTATGTCAAGAATCACATGGTAGAAATTCTTAAAGTAATTTTAGATTGTCTTTAAATATGGCTCCAATACCAGTAAAGGATCCTTGAGCATGTATAGATGAACCAGGTATAGAAATGAGAATATCTCACCATCAACAACACTGAGGTAAAACAAGCTGGGTGCTTACAGCTACATGTGCCACAGCAATGGGAGTTTTGTGCAGGTGTCGGCCTCTGAAGGACAGCGTAGATAAAGATGCCTCAGTTGCATTCATTTTGTGACTTAATCTTTTAATGGTACTAAAGCCCTTGCAACTATTAGGCAAGAGCAGTGATAAAATGCATGCCCCCACCCACCCCATCCTATAGCAGTGGAGGTGGTTATTTTACAGGAGATCTGTTTAATTATACATGTAAGAAACTACTTCAGATGAAATCTAAAATGCATTGAAGGTATAGCTACTGCTCCTATCACAATTCCTCATATTTTTAAAAGGTGGAATATACAGATGTATCTCATGTCCTTCCAGCCCCTTTCTACATTGAAATAGAAAGTTCAGGAGTTGTGTGAATTAGTTTCAGGTAACTTTCATTTTCCGTTTGAGTCTCACGTACCCAACTTTGCTTCCAGCAAGTATGGAATGGAACTTCCAAAATATTGAAAGCAAGTAATTTCCTTTTTGTTATCCTTTTTCGACTTCAGGATCTGAGAATCTCTAAATTAATGTTTTATGAACCTTTGCCTATGTGTCTCCAATAATCACTATATGAGTTGTTCACTGTTGGTTACAGGAAGAGGCTGGTAAAACCACAGAAGAGAAGGAAGAAAAGACATCATCTGAAATGGGTCTTAAGAAGACAATGGCTGAAGGCAAAGAATCAGAGGGTCACGTATGACTCACAGCAAAAAGGCAGTCCTCCTGAATTCAGCCTTTGCTTGAAAAGGTTTCTGAAGAACTCAGAATTCAGCAGTGTTCATTGTAAAGCTTGTTGCAGTAGGCATTATTGTGAGAGCAAAAAGCCTATCCAGCAGCTTCACAAGAAACTATAAAATCATTGCCACTGCAGTGAGCATGCTCAGCAGTGAAATATGAGCAGAAGGACAGTATGGGACCACCCCAAGTGGAACAAATGGTTAAAAAAATACACAATGGTTCTTGACTATAGAAGATTTTTAATGAGATGGCTCAAATAGAATTCATTTCAGTTTGCATCAATTTAAAGGGTTCTTTAAAATGAGTTAGCATATAGGAGCTGTCAGCTGTAAAGTTTTGGCATTGCATTTGATTGTACTGTAGTAGCACCACATGGGCTGTATGTTGTCTGTATTTTTAAAAAAGAAAAGGAGAAAAAAAGAAGATGACTCAAGTGCTACCACCTCAAGGCATCACTCTAGCACTACTTAGAAGCAAGTGAAAAGCAGTTTTATGGAACTGAAAGCCAGACTCCTGGGATGGTGTTCTCTCTATCTTATGTTTGCATTTTACTTTCTTTTTCTGTAGCACAATCTGGTTTCTCAGGGAGTTGAGTAGTCCAAATCATATTATTCTTCTGAAATTATTGTTTGCTGGCAAAGTCCCTGATCCAGTGATGTTTGAGCACACAAGAATTATGACTGCCAGCTTCTCTGTGTGAGCATCTTTTATCTCCCCATCTCCACAGGCCTAAAAAAAACTATTGGTGTCAAGCATAGCTGATAATCTGCAACAGTTAGGGTGAAAGGGGTACATAGAACTCAGGTACCTTCTTCTCAGTTTCCCAGTTAAGTAAGGTCATCAGGTTGCTCAAATACACCAGCTTGTCTCCTTTTATGCATTTGTCTTGCTGAACTGGATAAATACATGCTGATGGCCTTGTTTAGTCCTTTCTAAAGTCTTTTGGGATGTCTTTATTGAGATTATAATACAGTAATACATTATAATATAGTAAGTGACCAGAATATTTTTTGCAAAAATCACATTCCCCTTCATAAAATTATTACAATTAACCCTAGTAGCCATCCACCTATGGGTTTTCCCACAAAACGAAAATAACTTACTTCAAAACTATACATATAATTTGGCTTTAAAATTCCTTGCTTATTTTATGATTAATATCTCATATTCATGTTTGCAGTTTACCTCTGAAGCTATGTTGCCATCTTGTATTTAGTTGCTTTGTGAAGCAAGGAGGATCTATTCTGAATTTTTCAGAGGATTTTAAAATATGTTTTCTGGTTAAAGCACTGGCCTTCAGTACAGATGAGTCATATTAGTCTGCATCACATCTCAGAACCCACAACAGCACTGAAATAAATTACGTACCTACTCCTAGAGAAAAAGGCAGTTCTACTTAAGTCACATTGAAATTGGGATGAACTTGTTCTACTGATTTTAATGGGATTTATATGCCTAATTTTCACTAGGTTTGGGTTTATATGTTTACTTATCTGTGATGGAAGACATATTCATAGCGTATACAGCTATACTCCATTACATCCTGGGGCATTTTTGCTTTGCTATATATCAAATGGTCAACACTGCTATTTTTAAAACCAATTTAATTGTTACTCTAGTATCTAAAGGGGAATTAACAAATAACAGCTTTTAGTATTTGTTTCCTTCTTTTTTAAAATATATTTTCTTTTATTCTACTTCTGCCCCTGCTGACAGCATAGCTCTATCCCTCCTTTCCACTCCACTATTCACTTGTGAATCATCACAACAAGCACAGAAAAGCTACTGCAAAATGATAATTTGTAGTGTTAGTTAGGGTTTCAGTGTCACTATGATAATGCCTCTCCTTTTCACGCCCCTTTCAGCTGCAGAAAGTCTAGAATCTGTGTTTCCACCAAACAGAAATTTGGACATGTGAAGAATCCTTATTCTGCTGCATGGCCAATTGTACAGCACTTCTGTGTCAAATATTACTTTCATGAACCTGATGACAAATAGGGAGGTGTCATTCAAATTGCAAGTAATCATCTTCATTTGTATTCTCTGCATTATTGAGAGCATAGGGTGCATGAATTATGTGAACAACTGAAACACATCTACAATAAACTAGAGAGAAAGTAAAATCTGTCTTTAATTTAAATCTAAGACAGTAAAAGAAGAACATTGTGCCCCCCAGTGTACTATAATAACACTGACTTCAAATGAAGAAAAGATTCAGGAGAAGTACTAACCGTTCCTATTTGTGTATTTAATCCAGGCTTCTATTTTGCTTAAAAGAACATTGTCATCATGTTGCTTGTACATGGGTGTGATTTAATGTCAGTCCCCTCTGGACAAAGGATTTTCAAGGGCTCCCAGTATGATTTTTAAGATGACAATACCAATGATCTGTAATGCTGTTTGCTGGGGCTTGAGTTTCACTATGACCACGTTCCCTTTTTCAGCTGCAGAAAAAAGTGTTTGTCTTCAGTAGACAAGTCTTTGGCATCTGAAGCCCTCTCCCAAGTGGGAAACGATCAGTAAGATGCAACTTAGCTATTCTCTAAAAGTCCTGCATATATCCTGTATATTCCAAGTCTTGTAGGACATCTCATTTTATAATCCATATGAAGTTCTTAAAGCCTGTATCTGGAACTAAGTAAAGATTTAGCCTGTCCATCTGCACTAGTATTCAGCATAACTTGTTTTCTTGTTTATTCTGGCATCTTGTGGTTGTGTCATGGGGTAAGCATTCCACAGTTCCCACAAGCAGTTGTTGTCCTGTCTGAATCCTTCCCCATCTCCCTTTACATTTGCTCAGTTACTCTAATTTTCCATCACATTGCACACTGATCATAGAATATAGTTGAGATGCCTGATAGTTTAGTACTGTGTGGCTGTTGTGGTTGGAAACTTGAACCTACACAGGTGGATATTTAAGCAACTTCCTGTTTTGCAGTCCCATACATTTGTAGCTGCTTTTAGTTTTATGTCTGTTAGAACATCAAGATAACTGCATCTACCTCAGTAAAAAGTCATACTCATTTTGTTGTTGAACACAGCCATTCAATTGTTTGCTCTAAACTAAACTGGCTTTTTCGGAAATTCTATTCCATGCTGACTAGAACCTTTTGTAATTGTTCCCTAATGTTTGTGATACTCCACATGTCTTCTTACCCGGATTTGGTTTTGCTGAGTTTACTGTTGTAAGAGGAAGGTGAAACATCTTAGCTTGACCACTAAGCCCCCTTGGTGTGTGAGGCTTTTTAAGCACTGAAGTGGTAGATTTCTTTTGTTTCAAAAAGAAAAAACTGTGTGCTACTGTATTGTTAACTGCTTAGTGCTAGTATGTACTAATTATCCTATACTACCCATGGAATCCCATGTCTAGTTGTCAGTAAGCTACTCCAAAGACAGCTGTCAAACTCTCCCATTTAAAGAATGAAGAAGAATCAATAGTGATCCACTTGCTGAAATATCTTCTCAGTGTGCCAAAACATGGCTGATCCTAAATTACATTTTCTGTATTCACTCTCTAGTTCTTGTAAATTGTCCCTGGATGTCGCAACTGTCCCTGAATCTTAGACACAGAAATCTATGGTACCGTCACAGGAAGGCATTTGCCCATATTATTGCATCATTATCCTGTTGATCAGCATATAATTACTTAACGTGTTTGGATATGATATATGGGGCAGATTGGTTGTTTACCAACTGGTGTTACCTTGTTCCCCCATGCGGAGGCCTACTAAGTCAGGTGGCCTTTTGACCTTCTGTGCTTAACAAAAAAAGTGTACATGAAACCTAATTGCATTGTTTCAACGGACTGAAAATCCAACCATGGTCCCTTATTAAGCCAGATTTTAAATTTCACACTTGCCACTAACAATGAATTGTCTCACTGAGAGAATTCAGTGTCCATTCCTGACATGCCTCACTGCAGAGAATGCCAAATGCTCAGATTCACATATCTCCCTTGGGACTGTGGTGGTGGTGGTGGTGATTGTAGAACTGTTTATTCTGAGATCATGTAAACCTAGACATTTTATGAAATGGGATCATCACTTTCCTGAAAGCCTTAATTCAGAATTAGTAACTAGTTTAACCTGATTAAATATTTCTACTTGCCACTTCACTGTGATGTCCATGTCTCGAGGCCCATGGATTGTCACTGGCCTTAAAAGCTAGCCCAATGTTAGATAACCATGGGTCCTACCTGTTACCCAGCTGGGACAAAGGGCAAAGGGTAACAAATATTGCATAACTCTTGGGTGAGGAGGATAAAGAGATGGAAGCCCTTACATGCAACCTGCATAGCAAGGGTGGGGAATGTGTTGTCCTCTAGTTAATGAACTATAGCTACTAATACCCCTTAGCACTGCCTGTCTAGTCTACAACTGATGAGAGTTTTAGTCCATTAAAACCTGCAGCACCACACATTCCCTGCTAGTGCTCTGTAGCTCTGTGCAAAGAGTCATGAAACTGACACAGGTTCCACGTACTCCCTGTTAGACTACAGGAACTAACCTCTTTAATGTTATGAAAGAATGCTATACATTTAGCCTCCATAGCATACCTCTGGCTTAAGTACAGCACTACTGCAGGGACTGTCTACCATTGGAGTATTTGTCCCGTGTGAACAGGCAAATAGCAAATGACAAAGCTGATGTTTAAAATATATATATCAGAACATGAATGGCTGTGTGAATAGTCTGTATCACTCCCAGTGTACGTATTGAAAAGCCAGGAAGTTTGTATTTGTGGTATTGTCCTTGTGTGTTTGTACTACTAATTATTTACCTCACATTAAATTTGCTAAGGCTGCACAGTGGATCTGTGGGCATTCCCACATCTCTGATCCAGCCTTTCTTCACTGGGACACACTAGTTCTCAATTCCAGAATGAAACAAAAACATGGTTGTTCATGCGCTACCTTTTAAAGCACTTTTTCTTATCTGAAAATGTCTCTTTCAGGAGAAGATGACATAAAGTGGCCTTCAAAGAGAGAGGGAACTGAGAGTTTTTATTGCCCTTTAGAAAGAAAAAAGCAGAGCAGGCCACCATCTACCTCAGGGCCACAGACTCTGCACCCCCATCATCTTCAGGGGAAAATACCTTGCTCCAGTGATGCAAGGACAGTGGTACCAAATGTATTCTTACAAGCTGCTTTTAGCCTAGCTCGCTCGGCACATAAAGGAACTGATGTGGGGGTGTGATAATATTCTGAAATGTCCTTGAAGTCAGCTGCAAATGCAACAGAAACCCAGATGTCACAGCCATAAAGGTGATGTTAATTCTTAATCTGTTTTATCTCCCTCTTGTTTCAAATTTTTCCTGAAGCCACAGGCTTCCTGAGTATGTTCCTTCTTCATCTAATTGGCTTTGAGATATTGATACTCAGGCAGATATTTGAATCCTCTCTCTTCCATGCAGCTAGAGGCAAAACAAGTCTATTGCCACAAATGATTGGTGTTTTCTCTTTTCCGTAACTGAAGGGGGGAGGTTCAGCTGGAGCTGTTCATATGCTGAAAGGTGTATTTGTTCATATGTTTTGAGGATGAAGGCATACCACAGTTTTAGAGTAGGGAAGCAGTGTGGTAGTTGCCCCCATTACATTCAGTACATACATAGCTCTTCGTCTTCTGACTAAACTCTGAAGAAGTGGTTCTGTAATTAAATTTGAAGCAAGAAACCATTTGCAGAGTATGCTGATTGTTTAGGTGAGTGATGCTGCACACTTATCAACATGCATGTGTCCATGCAGAAAGACACCAGTTTCCAAGACAGTTTTACAACTAGTATTAAATGTTTGTGTTTTTTAGAAGATAAGGAAGAAAGGCTGTTTCCATGTTTGCCATATTTTCTTACTTTTTTTCTTTTCTTCTTCTTCTTTTTAATATTCTTTTCCCTGAAGCATCAGAAGGGGGCAAGACTGACGACAGGCAATATTTAATTCACGGATTCATGTGTCTGTTATGTATGTTGCAAAATTGGGCTTATGCTGTTGTGAAGAACCTGTTATACCTACTCACAAATACTGTATCTGCCTTCAATTCACATGCCTCTTTCTGTGTGTGTATATATGTGTGTACATACATACATAATTGGAGGGATCCTTGGAGTCTGGGAATTCTGCATGTCCAGTTGTGATTACAGTGTAGAACAATGAGAGAACAGAAGTCACTCATAAAGTATATTAGGCAAAAACAAAAGAAAAATAAAGACAAAAACACTGGCACTGTAATGGCATCAGACTCATGTAGAACAGGTAATGTCTGGTTTCCACTTTCACCTGCCTTTACACATGTGTATTTTGAAAAGTCAAAAAGTTCAAAACAATGTTCTAATTGAGCATCCTATAGAAGAATTGTGTTCCAATGTAGTACAAGTACAGCACAAAACATTATTAGTCCTTTATGGCAGCATTGCCAGTTCTGTTACTTTTCTGTATTCAGTGCCTCAGTCTTGCTATGTGAAGGAGATGTTTCCTGCAGAATTTAAATTGGTTTGGACAGCATTAACATATGCTTCTCAATAAAACAGCACAATAAAATAATAAATTATGTGTCATGACTCTGCAGAGTGAAAGGTAATTTTTTACATTATAAAAATGAGAGCAGTTCTTACTAAATGGAACACTTTCACTGAGTAGGCTAGTTCAATGCTGCTTAAGATAGTGCATCACTGGTGTGACACAGAAGTGGATTGTTTTAAGGGGTGCTGTTGTGATGTGCATATTCTCAGAGGGTGGGACCTTCTCAAAACACCTGTTAAAATTATGTAAAACATTTATCAGTGTTTGGGGAACTTTTTAACCCCTACTTGTGTCAAAATATGAAAAAAATAAAATCTGACTTTTTTCCACCATATCATGGTTCATGTTTTTTTATACTTCCCTTGCTAACCCTCATAACAGGTATAGGGCAACATAGTCCATGGGCCATAGAGAATTGCACAAGATTATTTTATGCCCATCTGCTGTGTTGCCTGGTACAGTACTGCCAAAGCCACTCTGCTGAGGGCATGGCTGCTACTAATAGCATAAATAGAAACAGACTATTTCTCCTCTCCAAAAGGGTTGCAAGTTCCTTTTATAGCAGTGGTTCCCTACCTTGGGTCCCCAGATGTTCTTGGACTGTGGCTCCCAGAAGTCCTGGCTAGTACAGTTAGTGATTAAGGCTTCTGGGAGTTTTAGTCCAAAAACATCCAGGGACCCAAGTTTGGGAATCATTCTACAGCCCCATGACCCAACCTTGATTCCATGCTTTTACTGCCCAAAGCATACCTACTTTTCTTGTTTCAACGAAGGAACCTAGTGAGACAATCTGCTGTGTTGTGTTACAAAGCTTTGAGGTCCAGGAGAATGCATCATCCACCTCTTGAACCATGGAAAAATGCCACAGATGCTGCCAAAATTTAGAACCATTATGGCTGCAAATCTGGAGGTGGTGCAGCCCTGATTGGATCAGTGGATCTAATTCAGTTCCCAAGCTCCAGGCGTTAGTCACTCCTGGGTACCAATCTAATGAATCAGTTTAATTTGCCCTGAGGTACCCTTGTAGAGTTTAACTGATATGAAGCATGGGCCATTCATTTTTACTCAAATCTAAGTTCTGCTTAATTCAGTGAACTTAGTCCAAGCTATGTTCTGTTTGCAGTCTGAGATTTCCATAATGTAATTGTAAATCCTACATTCTTCATAGTGGCCTCTGTGAATGCGCACAAATGGGTTTATACTGCCCCTGCGCAGGACGTTCGGAAGATTCTAGAGCTTAGGAAAAAGAAACAATTTAGTTCCCCCTTCCGGACACGAGCTCCGCCTCAACCTTCTTTTCAGTTCCTTTTTTTTCCGCTGTTAGGGTAGGATGTGAGGAACAGCAGAGTGATTAAGGAAAGTGCTATTGCCTTTTTTGTATTCTTATTTTGATTTCTATTCAATATTGGTTTTTTTCTAGCGACAGAAAACTCTTTAAGTTCTTTCACTACAAGTGTCACAAAAAATCGAACACCGTTGTAAGATGCATGAGGTGGACGCGGACTTTCTAGTCAAACATCTGATCCCCAACTCCATTGTGGTCGAGGCCACTAAGTATAAGTCCCGCAGCAGGTCCTTTATGACTCCCATCAACAGAGAGGGTTGGAAAATTGACTCTTTGGGGAGAAAACGTTAGTGGCGCTTATGATCCGAATTTCTAACTACCAGGCAGCAATGGGCGCCTATCAGAAACACTTGTGGGACAGGGTTCTCCCCACTCTGCAAACCCTACAAGATCCATCAAAGGGTGAAACTCTGAATGTCTATACAGAGACCAATATGCTCGCCAAGCAACAGAGGGTCACGGCGAAACGCGCTGCCAATGTCTATACAGAGGCCAATATGCTTGCCAAGCAACAGAGGGTCACAGCGAAACGCACTGCCAACACCGCTTCTAAAGCCATGCTAGCTTCAGTAGCTGTCAGGCGGCATTGCTTGGCTCAGGGCAGCTAACATTGTGGATGATACTAAGAATAAGATTGAAGACCTGCCCTTCGACGCCGTGGGGCTGTTTAATTCAAAAATGAATGATATCATGGAAAACATCCACAAGATGAGAAAGACGGCCAAGTTGTACATACCTTACCAGCTGTATAAGTACTAGAAGCCTTCTTACAAGAGGCCTGCATACCAACAACAGCACCAGTATCAGCCCTTTCGGTACACTAAGCAACAGCCATCTGAGCGGGCTTATCAGCCGCCACAAGCCAACTCCCTGCAATTTAAGCAGCAACAGTTCCAAGGCTCCAGACAACCCTTTCACAAGTCCCAACTCAGGGGTAAGCAGTTCTCCTAATTTTTTCAATAGCCCCACGAGACTCTCCCCATTCCTCCCAAAAAGGAGGAGGGTTACAACTGATAGGTGGGTTCTGGCTATCATCCAAAACGGCTACTTGATAGAATTCTCAAAAATCCTTCCATCAAATTCCATCAGCCCCACCCCTTTCTCAGTACTTTTGCAGGAGGAAATATCTTCCCTCCTCAGAAAGGGGGCTAAAGTCAGGGTTCCACCTTCTGACTTAGATGAGGAATTCTTCTCTATATACTTCACGGTCCCTAAAAAGGATGGGGGCATCAGACCCATCATGGACCTCAGAGACCTTAACAAATACGTTCTTTATAAAAAGTTCTGCATGCTGACACTTGACTCAATTTTCTCTCTTCTATCCCAGGGGAATTGGTTTGTCACCATCGATCTCAAAGACGCCTATTTTCATATATCAATTCATCTGTCTCATCAGAAGTTCCTCAGATTCAGCTTCGAGGATACAACATACCAATTTGCCACTCTCCCCTTCGGGCTTTCAACAGCTCCCAGAACATTTACAAAATGTATGGCTCCCGTGGTGGCGTACCTCTGCACCAAGGGGGTGAAGCTCTTCCCATATATCGACAACTGGCTCCTGGTGGCCCAATCCTACCATGGCGCCATTACAGCCACCCAAACCACACTCGACACATTGGACAAGTCCCACCTGGACCCTTCCCAACTTGTTGATTACATCAGGGCGCAATTGGATGCACACTGCAAGCAGAAGTTTTCTTGCCCTTCCACAGAATCCTAAAGATCCAAAAGGCAGTACATCGGTTCCAGCCTCACAAGCTCGTAACTGCCCACGATGTACAGCACCTTCTTGGTCTTATGTCATCCACGACGTCAGTGGTCCTCCATGCCAGACTAAAGTTGAGGATGCTCCAATCCTGGTTTCTATCTCAATTTGACCCCTCGACGGACAGCCCGTTGAAGAAGATGAGGGTTCCGCCATTCCTGGCAGACCAATAGCCTGGTGGACATCTGTCCACTGTGACAAACCCAGACCTACTGGGATCTGCCACACGTTAACTAAGCTGCCACCAACCATTCCCTATAAGAAGTCACACAGACCAGGGATGGATTTTTAAACGGATTATGGTCAAAGAGAGAAAAAAATGCTCCACATAAATGAACTGGAAATGCTGGCCATCATGAAGGCCTTTCAAGCCTTCCTCCCACGTATCGAGGGAAGAGCAGTTCAGCTCATAACGGAGAACACGACGGCTATGCATTACGTAAACAAGCAGGGAGGAACTCGCTCCCTACCCCTTCTTCATCTAACCATAAAGTTTTGGGAATGGTGCCGCATTCATCGCATTTTCCCTCAAGCAATCCACATCTCATTGGACGACAACTACCTTGCAGATCGCCTCAGCAGATTACCCACCCGCATGCACGAATGGTCCTTAAATGAGACGGTTTTTCAAGACATATGCTTCAGATGGGGCCAACCAACAATAGACCTCTTTGCATCCCATCACAATACCAAGTGCCTCAGATACTGCTCGAGGGCCGGCATAGACATAGCATCCCTAGCGGACGCATTTATGATACCTTGGTCCAGATAACTCACTTACCTGTTTCCTCTGATACCCATGCTACTAAAGACAGTCATCAGAGTCATTCAGTATTGCACGGATGCCAGACTTATTGCCCCATGGTGGCCACAGCAACCATGGTTCGCTCACCTCAAGGAGATAATGAGGGAAATGTTTCACATACCTTCCATACCAACTCTCCTCTCCCAGAACGACGGGTCCATTCTCCATCCGGACATCCGATCCCTCTGCCTGATGGTGTGGAAGATATCCCTGATTTCCAGGCAGTTCTAGATCGTGCTTGGAAACTGTCCACTTCCCGACTCTATCAGAACAAATGGAAATCCTTCATCAAATTCACTCAATCCAAGGGACTTACACCGGTCCCGACCTCCCTTAAAACGATACCTTTGTTCTACACCTATTTTGTCTGGGTCTTGCACACTCTACAATCAAAGTATATGTATCAGCTGTGATAGCCCACCAACTGACCAGCTCCCGGTCTATCAAACTTTTGTCCCATCCCACTGTCAAAAGATTCCTCAAGGGCCTGCAAAATATCAGGCCCCCAACATAGCGGATTGTGCCACAGTGGTCTCTTCAACTGGTCTTGGAAGCACTTACCAAACTGCCATTCGAACCCATGGCCACCTGTAACGAGAAACTACTCTCCATCAAAACCGCCTTTCTCATCACAATCACCTCTGTGAGAAGAGCTAGCGAATTGGCCGCTCTAAGAGTGGACCCTTCATATTTACAAATGCATCCTGATAAAGTTACCTTATACCCGGACATCTCCTTCCTACCTAAGGTGATGTCGGAATTTCATTTAAACAAGTCTATTACACTCCCTGCATTATTTCCATCTCCGTCCACACCAACTGAAAGAAAGTTTCACATGTTGGATCTAAGGAGAGCCCTCGCTTTCTACCTGAATAGGTCAAGGCACTTCAGAAACTCTCCTCGTCTATTCTTATGCTATTACGGCCCCAACAAGAGTGCTCATGCCTCCTCTCAGACATTGAGATGGATAGTGCAAATGATTCAGTTGGCGTACCAACTTGCAGGCAAGCCGATACCGGACCATTTGAAGGCACACTCTACAAGAGCAGTATCAACATCGACCGCTCTTCATCGGGGCATACAGCTGCAGAACATCTGTAGAACTGCCACTTGGTCTAACCCTCTGACATTCGCAAAGCACTACCGCCTCGACAGCAGAGCCAAGAGTGATGCTGCATTTGGAAGGGTGATGCTGTCATCTTTTCTACCGTGACGGCCCTCCATCCGGTGAGTAAGCTTGCTATACACCCATTTGTGTGCATTCACAGAGGCCACTACGAAGAAAGTTAGGTTATCTACCTGTAACCATGGTTCTTCTAGTGGACCCCTGTGAATTCACATCCCTCCTTTCGTCCCCTCTGTCTGTCACATTGCCTTTGTCAGTACCTACTCTTGGTAACGGCAGTCTTAGGGAACT